GGTAGCTCAGACCGGGGAGTAACATAGGCCAGGTGGCGTTAGTCTACCACTTCCGGTTTCGGAGTTATGACCCCCGAGCTAAGCCTGTCTGTTCGGGGTTGGCGGCTACACTAGGTCTGCCCCGAGTCTGAAATTTGGGGTATAGGGGTAGCTCGGACCGGGGAGTAACATAGACCAGGTGGCGTTAGTCTACCACTTCCGGTTTCGGAGTTATGACCCCCGAGCGAAGCCGGGTATCCTGCTAGTTCCTTATAACCTCAGGATCATCCCTATTGTTTTTTGTGCATGTCCAATCTCCAGGGGCAGAGTCACGACCATTTTCTCTTTGTGTGTCTTGAAAACTTTTCATACATATTCCTGATACGCTAAGGATGACCTCTATTAATTGTGATGCATGCCGGGTCCTTCGGGGCAAAGCTACGCCCAATTTTTGTATGTGTCTGTGTGGCGCCTACAGACTGCAGGTCTTAACAGATCCTTTTGAAACTGCGCATACCTATTCCTTATACCCTAAGGATGATCCCTATTGTTTTGGGTGAATGTATGTGTTGCCTACATATGTATTTCTTATAGTCTAAGGACGGCAACTCTTGATTTTGGTGCATGTCCCGACCCCCTGTGGCACTGCCAGGCCCATTGTTTGTGTTTTTTTATCTACAGACTGGAATTCGTTATACCGTAAGGATAGCAACTATTTATTTTAGTGCATGTCCCGACCGCCAGGGGCAGAGCCACGCCCAAATTTTGTGTTTAGCGCCAGAAGGTCACAAATAATATGTCCCGATCCCCTGTGGCATGGCCAGGCCCAATTTTTGTGTTTTTGTCTACAGGTTGGAATTACTTACAGCAACTCATAAAGTCTGTCATTGAGTCGACTGGCGTGGTTTAGAATCCCCGGTTGTACGTGACAAGGAGTAGGGTCGCCTGTCCAACCTCGTGGGTTTTCTCCGGGTCCTCCGGTTTTCTCCCACTGCTAAAGACCCCTACGCGCAAACGAATTATGTAAATAAAATTAAACCATATGTTAGTCCCGTAATGACCTAGTTTGTGTCGAGTGGACGTTAAACCCCATTTCTCTCTCTCCTTATAGCAACTATATATTTCGGTGCATGTTTGTTATTGTTTGTCTGTAAATACTCTACAGGTTGTATTAGCAAACTTTGTTCAAATTCAGCACATCAACCATTTCAATAACAGGGTTGTACCTATTTATATTGTTCCATATCTAGCCCCAAGGGGCAGAGCCACGTCCATTGTTTGTGTTTACCGTTTACAGGCTGCAATTCTGAATGGATCATCTAGCAAATTGGCATAATTAATCCTTATACCGTAAAGACAGCTATAATTTATTTTGGTGCATTCCTGACCCGCGGGGGCCGCATTACACCCACTTTTTTTGTTAATATGCCGTCTGTAAATTTGGCAAAACAAACCCAACGCCTAGCCTTCTGTGCCTCTTGTCATATTACAGCCATTGCAACCATTTCATATTTCATACTCTTCATTTTAAAAAGTGCCATATCAATCGCATCAGGAATTCTTATGAAATACATAAATCAATAATATTGCCAATATTAATGTCTTCTTTTAACTCTTCTAAAAATAGCATAAAATGGTTCTATCTGCTATATCATTTACACTACTACGTTGTACGTGGCAAGGAGTAGGGTCGCCTGTCCAACCTCGTGGGTTTTCTCCGGGTCCTCCGGTTTCCTCCCACTGCTAAAGACCCCTACGCGCAAGCGAATTATTGAAATAAAATTAAACCTTTTGTTAGTCCCGAAATGACCTTGTTTGTGTCGAGTGGACGTTAAACCCCATTTCTCCCTCTCTCTCTCTCTCACATTTATTTATAGTATTTAGTATATCATTTACATTCATGTGGCTTATTTACTTTATTTATTAATAGTATATATTTGTTTACTTTATTTTAAAGCTACTGTCCGGATACAGTTTCCCTCATAGTACACTGTATGGTATATGCCCGTGTCTTTTAGCCCAGTCAGAGCAGAATAGTATGGCGTTCAACCTGATTTCATTTCATTTCCACAGCTGTCACAATTGAGAGACCGGGTTCCATTTTGCTTAGATAATATGTTTTAATCTATTCAGTTGATTACACCTTAACCAACAACATCAGCGAACATTTTAATAATCTTTTCAGTTGATAATTGAGATAATTTCCTGAATATGAAACAAAAATGAATAATATATGGCTAGAAAATAAAGTTATTAATCTATTCAGTTGATTTAACAACACCGTCATGTATAACTTAAGATTACGAACTCGGTTAAATATTGATTAAATATTAAATATTTATTATACTATATAATATCATGCAATGCTTCGTAAATAGATAATATATTTATAGATTAAAATGTACCCATCGTGTAACAAAATATAGAAACTGCGTAGTACTGACATTTTCTTCTTTTTTTATGTTTTGTTTATAAAGTGACACCATATCCTCTGTTGTTTATGAAACTACATGGTGGACTGTACCCATCGTGTAACAAAATATAGAAACTGCGTAGTACTGCCATTTTCTTCTTTTTTTATGTTTTGTTTATAAAGTTACACCATATCCTCTGTTGTTTATAAAACTACATGGTGGACTGTACAGACAATAGACCGGGAACCACGGTGGTTAAGTGGGTAAGCCGCTGGCTTGCTAGTCTGGAGCTGGAGGTCGGGTGTTCAATCCCTGCATTAGTCGAGAAAGTTCATCGGGATTTTCTGATGTGGTCTCCCCGTGTTAGTGGTGCAGGACAGCTGCCTAGTCGTTCGGATGGTACGAAAAGTCGATGTCCCATGTATACTTTGGCATGCACGTAAAAGATCCCTTGGCAGTTGGAATTCCGAATCTGACTATGGTTCTGTAGGAAAGTTTGAGTAGGGATAATTTTTTGAAGGGTGTGTTCACTTTGCATCAAACGGTATTCAAACCAGCTTTGGATGCAAAATGTTCTTTATTTCACAGATTCAAGGGATGAATAAACTACTAGACTTTAAAATGTCATAAGCCTCCTGTGTTGCATTGTATTCATGACGCCTATTTCACACAAAATCGTATTTGATATCCAAGTGGACCTTATGAAAATACGCATTTAAACAACATTTAAATATTATCTACCACCTGTAGCATTTTCCACTCGAACTAACAATAAATTTTGTATTGGAATTCTCGATTACGGAAACGTTCTTATTGCTTTAAAATACTCGATCAAAATACCAAGTGTTAATTTATATGATAATTTAAGGCTACCATATAATAAAAAAATTTCCAACACGTTTAAACACCATATCTTTCTGCATGAAATGACAATAATTTGTTTCTTGGATAAAACGGAAACAAATCTTTTTTTTCTATTTTGTACCTGTAAAATAATATACGATTGGTCATTTTATTTAGCGTATTTCTACTGATGATTAAAGTAATCAAGTAATGCAGAAATTTGCAACACGTTTTAACATCCTATCTTTCCCCTCCCTTTTTAGGGATGGGCTGAACAGGAGTATAGTAATTTCAGGGATCCCGAAACTAGTTATTGTTCATGAATTTACGTCGTTTTTGATGAATTGTTATGGTTGCCGCAAGTTAAATATGTGCAAAAGTCCCTGAGGTAATTAAATTAGAGGCGTTTGCACCTTTAAAACAGATAGTAGGGTTGTGATTCGGCAGAGCTCATTCAGATTGTCATTACAACCATATTATCAAAGCCAGAGGGTCAGTTACTATTCTGAGAACAAGGAGATTTGTGACTAACAATTTGCCTTGATACGAAGAATAAAGTTCCAACATCGAACATGAAGTCAAAGACGCGATCACAATAACTGACGATCCAGTAATACTACACATGTACACTTTATTATATGCCATTAATCTTTCCAGGTGATTGCTCACAGTGACACAGGTAAATCATGCAGGTGTATGCCACATTTTAACTTCTTTTTTTTAAATTTAGATTTTTGGAATGCCAACAGTTTAGAGTTGGCGTGTTGTATCCCTGTCCGTCGGTCTGTTCGTCAACAAGAGGCTACCGTTTTCAACAAATGATGTTTTTCAAATTTGGCGTCAAGAGGACGAACCCGAATGATTTTTAGAGTTCCGCGACTTTTCTTTCTGTAGTTATCCACCATCCCTCTATTGACGAAAACCCCTGAGCACACAAAAGAGGCTGTAGTTTTTAATGGGTGTTTTCAAATTTGGTGGGGAGCAAGAGGTTGAATCCGGAGTTCTCCCTACTTTCCGAAAACCTTGTTAACGCGATATTGATTTGGAGCCTTAGCTTCACGAGAGGAGAAACCCTATTGATATCCAACATTCTGTGGCTTTCAGTTATCCTCGCTTTGCCAAAATATCAATTTTAGTCAACATCCAAGTTTTCTGTTCGGATAAGCTGCTGTCGAGATTTTGTTGTGCAATATTTCAGTTATGTGGAGAACAAATTAAAAGTTGCAAACCCTGAGCATAGCGCTTTTTTTCAAATTTTATCTTTGTACATAAATGAAATGAAATGGGGTTTAACGTCTTACTGTTCTGCTCCTACCGGGCTAATGAAGATGGGCATACGTCATACAGTGTGCTATGAGGGAAACTTTGCCCGGGCAGCGGCACTATGCCCTACGCATATATAGAATTCCAACTGCCAAGGGATCTTTTACGTGCACGCCAATGTATACACGGGACCTCGGTTTTCGTCCCATCCGAATGACTAGACAGCTGTCTTTGTCAGTCCCTCCGTCCTGCACTACGGAACTCTAAAAATCAATAGGGTTCGTCCTCTTCACGCCAAATTTGAAAAACATCACCTGTTGAAAATGGTAGCCTCTTGTTGACGAACGGACCGACGGACAGGGATACTGGATAATCAACCACATTAAAAACCAATGGACTTTCCGTTAAATATCGACAACGATCCCAGACCCTCCGTACGTTGAAGACTAGAAGGTTCTGGGTGACCGAGACTAGTAGTTCACCAGACCTTGGACACCATAGTTTGATTGCTAATATTTATCTTATAGATATTTTTATTTATAAACACACGCATATAATAATAATAGAAATAATAGTACACTGTATGGGGTCAATTGTAAATCGCTAACAAATCGCCCGAAAAGACTTTAAATCTAATTTAGATATAATAACTAGTATTCAAGTCCAACCAATTGTTGTTTCAGAGTTTTACGAACCATGGCGTAAAGTTGTTTTCCTCTGGTGATGGAAACTGTCAAATATAAACAGACATAAATCATTAATGGTTACATTTTGTAGGATTTAGATAATGTAGGATTATCTACAACATGGTCATCAAATGAGAAAGTATATTATAATAATAACAAACATCTGACAAACAGATTACCAGTTATCAACAGTTCATGACACACATGATTGATATATAAGATAAAGGCCGACAAACGGCGACAGATGACGAACGCTGTCTTCCCTAGTATTCCGCCATAGCTGTCCCACAGTGCAACGTCGCACGTGCAGCTTAACATATTACCGTAAAGTTATTAAAAAGATGTCCAATGCATAACTGTATAAAGCAATACCTACAATAAAGAGCTGACCGTTATAATAGTTAAAATACTGTGATGAAAAATAAATGTATTGAAAATTTCATTCAAGTTACTTTATTCTGAGCTAAGTTGAGGGTGTTGGAAGATGTAGCGTAGATTGTTTATTATATCGTAGCAACGCTACTGGATAAACGAGACTGAGTCTCGATTATCCACATTATCGTTAATTTTATGATAAATCTCGCGGGCGTTCTAATCCATTTAAAGCTGTGCCAACCGATATTCTATAGAGTTGATTATAGGTTTGACAGGTGAATAATTGTCTAAATAATAATTTGAAGCTAAAAGAAAGACGTGCAGTAGGCAGATTTAGCTCTTACATAATTAATCTGTAACGGATATAAAATAAAACCCCTTTAGACGTTTGAAAAAATGAACACGTCATATACCACCCTGTTCAAGATGTATGTGTTCTTTTCAAATGAGGTCAATGAAAAAAGGAAATGCCAAGAATATGTCTATATTAAACCGTTTCGTTATTTTGGAATTGACAGCCACAATTTTTGTTTTCAAACGGAAATTAGTGAAACAATCGTGTTGTCCTTGTCAATTACTACTGTCTTTTTCCTAAATCCTCTTTATTATATGTCCTTGTCAATTACTACTGTCTTTTTCCTAAATCCTCTTTATTGTATGTCCTATTTTTTTTTTTTTTTTTTTTTTTGGGGGGGGGGGGGGTCATATGTATGCACTTATTAAATACCAGTAGATAATGCATATGGTATAAGCTGTTGGTTTTATGTTGAAGAGAGAGAGAGAGAGAGAGAGAGAGAGAGAGAGAGAGAGAGAGAGATGGGTTTTAACATCCACTCGACTCGACACAAACTAGGTCATTTCAGGACTAACATATGGTTTAATTTTATTTCAATAATTCGCTTGCGCGTAGGGGTCTTTAGCAGTGGGAGGAAACCGGAAGACTCGGTGAAACCCCACGAGGTTTGAAAATAAGGACCAACGTGTTAAAATGATTCCCCAGAAAATAAAGTCATTATTAAATCATTATTATTATAATGCGTTTTTGTTCCCCAATAATACAAACATAGTTTGTCTGCTCTACCCAAAGAACGATGTTAAATTTGTACCTGTTTTGTAAATTCATCTTGACAAAGCATTCTTATAATATCAGGAGTAGCTGGGCTATCAAACTGGAAGTAGCCGTCCATTCCTGTTTCATGTCGAGCAGCCATTATAGCCGACTTGGTTGCCATAAAAATTGAAAGGGATAGTAACATCGGCGCTTCTCCAATAGCCTGGAACAAAAGAATAAATTATGCACTGTAATTACATACATTTCAGGAGTATTTGCAAACTGTTGTACAGACCAATTGCTGCTGTCCGTTTAACTCGATCTCGTCTCTTGGATTTTGTATTTTGTCTACTTACTAATATTGGGTTCGATCCAGCTTCCTTTTATTATTATCTTACTGTCTGTTTCCCAAACTCGATGCTGTTTAATCGTTTTACGGGTTCACACAGGTTTATTCCAAACTAATGTAATTAGCACTGTTATAAGGAAAGATGGGTGTTTGCGGCTTTCCTAACTGTCTGACCTTTAATGATTTTCTCTGGCTGCCCCCTATTGGTTTAGACAATAGAGGACCAGCGAAATTTTGAATTAAGGAATTGCAACTTGAGAGTCAATTGTATTTCGTCACTTACCTTTGATGAATACACGGCCCTTTTATTCGGCTTTCCTTTCAGCAGAGAGACGTTAAAGACTTTAGGAATATTTCCCATGGATGGAATCTTATAGTTGCCGGGACCTTTAGTTAGAAGTGTACCAGAGGGCGTATACTTTAAATGTTCCAGCATGTGTAGACCATGACCCTTTTGTAAAAATAATACAGAAATGGTATAGCTGCTTTTAAGCAGGTACACGTTTTGATTTAGATAAAAAAAAACAAAGCGCTAAGTCGAGTTAACGTGATGTTTGATCCAGGAATCGCTCCTTTTTTGGTTGCTGTGGCTGTTGGCGGTGGTTGTGGAGCGACGCTTTTTCGAAAAACTTAGTGTTCCGCCAAGTAATTCGAATACGGGCGACATTAAACGTGGACTATTGCGCATCGATTGAAGGACTTTGTTTTTTGACGTCCCAATTCCAAGATGTCTGCGATGACGTCATTTTAATTAGTGAAGGGTCTAACTCTCTGCGATTACATTTTCATTTTATTTATTTATTTATTTTTTAAAACATACATAAAATCAACCCTTTTCATTTTGACACAAATCAATAAGGTCTTGTAAATAATAATCAAATTTATCAAAAGTTTCGTAAAACAAAATTAATTTATGGGCTTATAACATAGGGTTTCGAGGTGTTCGTTTTGGAAAACCAAATTTTACAATTCCTTACCATCATAAAAGCGCCCTCTATTTGTCCTATATCTATAGCCGGATTTAAGCTCGTCCCTACATCAAATACAATATCCGTTTTTAGAACCTAAAAATACAAAACAAAGAAGTATTTTCACAAAATGGGGATGATTTAAGCAAGTAAAAGGCATATATTCCCCTGCGAATGTTTCGTCTGAATTATCCTATTGTTCCGTTAATGAATGGATGAATGAAATGAGGTTTAACGTCCTACTGTTCTGCTTTGACTGGGCTAATGAAGACGGGCATAGGCCATACATTGTGCTATGAAGGAAATGTTGCCCGGGAAGCGGCACTATGGCCTACTCTTATATCGAATTCCAACAGCCTTAAGGAATCTTTTACGTGCACGCCAATGTATACACAGAACCTCGGTTTTTGAAAAAATGTTAGATGATTAAAAAATTTGACATTAAAAACGCCATCTAATAGAATAAGGCCTGTGTGGACTTTTTGTTGAAAATAAAGTCCAAGAATTCCAAACCAAGACGATCGCAGTTTCAAATCCCTAAATCAGCTATAATTCAACCTCCTGGAACAGCGCATGTTGTATAGTTGTATGTCCATCTTCATTTCCCTAGCTGGTGCAGAAAGTATGCGCGTCTACCTTATCTGCACCATTAAGGTAAATGAAGACGAGAATGGGCTGTGGTAATAAGTTTTCTTACTGTATGATCTCCTGTTAAGCAATCAATTTCCACTTCCGAACAACCAGCTCCATAGGAATAATAGTAAAAGCTGTTTTCACTGTTTGTACTAGGGTCTGGGCCCAGGTCAGGTGCTCTACAATACACCATGACAGAGAATATAAGTTCCAAGAAATGAAATGAGTTTTAATGAAGCTGGGCATACACCATACGCCATGCATAATCGAATTCCAACTGTACCTTTTACGCGCACGCCAATGGGTACACGTTTGAACATTGGTTATCGTCCTATCCGATCGACTAGACACCTTGTCTTGCCATGTCCTCATGCCTGTACCACTGACTAAGGAAAGTCCGGCTGCAAATTCCCGATGAACTTTTGCTGACAAAATAAAAAAAATCAAAACATCACCCACAATTTTATTGATCCTAACCGACTGTTGTTATATATTTGCAAATAACTGGAATCTTACTTCTGTTACTAGAAAAAAACCTCGTAGGTTGTCTCCGAGTCCTCTGGTTTCCTCCCACTGCTAAAGACCCCTACGCGCAAGCGAATTATTAAAACAAAATTGAACCATGCGCTAGTCCCGAAATGACCTAGTTTGTGTCGAGTGGACGTTAAACCCCATTTCTCCACAATATATAATGTTTACAAATCTTACTTATAAAAGCCTGTTGCTGATAAACTCACTCGATCTTGATAAGCTCTCTTTACCCAGTCGTTCCACGAAGAACCCTTTTCGTTTTTATATTTTTCTAACCTTTTACATATCTTCTCACACGCGATCTGCAATATACATTTTTAATTTAAAAAAATATATACTATTTTTATGAAATCAAAAATCTGTTAACGCGCCCACATTTAATGTGATAGTGGATTGTCGAACTAATTTTCACAATATCGCGTTTACCGATCAGGAAAAAGTCATATCATATCATCATGGAGATTAACAGGACATTTCTTGATTCCTGTCCCGAAAACCATGAAAAGGGCGTTACTATTAGCTACATAAGGGTTGTCCTTGCCTCGGAGCTGTGGCAGAGTTTGTGCGGTCCTTGAGTCACACACACTCGACAAATATACAATTTATATCAAACACACCGTCACTGTTAAACAAAACCAACAGTGGCGTTCAAGGCTGTCCAAAGCGGTAAACAAAAACGTGCCGCCATCCAAATGTTAGGTTGACAAACGGGCAGTTCCGTGGCCATGGGGTGCAAAATGGGACAAAGTCCCAGGCTTCTTACATTTGGAGGGGAGGGGCGTTTTGGGTAGATTACAAGATAAAAAGTTCCATTTGATGACCGAGAGATTCTAGTTAAGATTCCTTTTTAAAAAAAGAGAATATTCTCGGTGCCCTCATTCAGTCTAAATCGGGGGTCCCCTTTTAAACAAATTCGAATCTTCGCACCGCGCTGGAAAATACGATTTTTTTACTTAATTCATCCCCAACCCCAATGATTTATTCCGTTCCCCCACAAGATTAAACGGCCCTGGAAAAAGACAATGCACATTAACAGGTAAACAAAAAATAGACTAGCCCCCTATATGATGTATACTACCTTTACAGCCATTCCGTTTAGATCAGACCCAGTACTGCCTGCTGTTAGTGATCCATTAGGGACTGTATTGGTACTCGTTTCACTGGTATGAATTTGGTTAGCTGGAATACCTAAAGTCGCACTTGCCACCTATAAAATAACCAATTCGACACAAAAGATGGTGTGATAATGGGATCATATAGTGTTAAATAGTAAATTATGCTATATAGTAACTATGGTTTGCACGTAAAAGAACCCTTGACAGATGGAATTCAATTGCTGTCTGGGTACAATTTCCCTCATAGCACTGGACGTTAAACCGCATTTTATTACTTCTTTCAGAAGAAGGGACCAGTGGCAGTCTGGATCATTGACATGTGGATAGTTGTGGGGATAGTTGTAAGTGACAAAGAGTGTAGGCGCAGAAAAGTTGGACGTTAAACAAAAAAAGAGAGAGAAATGGGGTTTAACGTCCACTCGACATAAACTAGGTCATTTTGGAACTAACATATGCTTTAATTTTATTTCAATAATTCGCTTACTGGTTACTGAAATTCAACTCCCAACCATCATTCCAGTCCTCTATAATTGCAACAATACAGCGTATGCTTACATTTCCTTAACACCTGGTACAACTTCTCGTTTGGGGAATTCGTATAGCTAACAATTGTGAACCGTTGCTGTGTTGAAAGTCTATAACTATTTTTCACTGGGATTTCAAACTACATATATACGTACCTGGATCATTTTAATATAAAGACCTTGGCCCATTTCTACTCCCCCATGTGCCAATAAAACAGATCCGTCAGTATAAACATTCACCAGGGCACCTGCCTATAAAATATAAACAATATCCTACTTCAGTATAAATATTCACCAGACATTGTCTATTGAATATAACCAATATAATACTTCAGTATAAACATTCGCCAGGCACTGTCTATCGAATATAAACAATATAGCTCAGTATAATATAAACAATACTGTTCTTCTCCCACTGGATTAATGAGAGATAGAAACTAGGTCATTTCAGGACTAACATATGGTTTTTAATTTTATTTCAATAATTCGTTTGCGCGTAGGGGTCTTTAGCAGTTGGAGGAAACCGGAGGACCCAGGGAAAACTCACGAGGTTGGAAGGCGACCCTACCCCTTGTCCACAACAAGGAATTCGAAACCACGCCAGCTGACTCAATTACAGGCCTTATGATACAGCGCGCACATCCTAATCATTCGGTCACCCCCCCTCCCCCTGGGCTAATGAAGATGGGCATACGACATAGAGTGTGCTATGAGGAAAATTTTGCCCGGACAGCGGCACTATGGCCTACTCTTATATCGAATTCCAACTGCAAATGGATCTTTTACGTGCACGTCAATGTATACATGGGTCCTCAGTTTACCGTCTCATCCGAACGACTAGACAGCTCTCCTTGTCAGACCACCCGTCAAACAGTGATAATGTCCGGTATATTTCCAGTTCTATTACGAAATGACACATAAACCATAAATCATAATATCGGTCTATATTAAACATACATTATTCAAGAGCTAAATCTGTTTATTGCAGTTCTTTCTTTAGGCATGAAATGTTATCTAAATCATTAATTAGACATTAATTAACTTATCCAGACCATAATCAACTCTAGATGGCATTGCTAGCCTGCGATGTTTAGTGGATTATGAACCGATTTACTGCATAACTTTCCTTCACGATTTAACGATTAAATGGATAATCGAGACTATACTGTTTATCATACTGACTTTAGTAATGATAATCGAGGCTAGGCGGAAATATCAATCGCTTAGTTCTCGGTTCATAGTGGATCAATTTGACTGAAATTTTCAGCAAATTGCCTTTACATTATCTAATGTTTAACTATTATAGTGTGAACTGTCAACTTGTTATCCAATCTCTCACAATGTATCTTTAATAGATACGAGATAAAATGAATCGTTTACTTACTTGATTTAAGAAAATTGCACCGATAGATACCCCATATTTCAGGGGTAAGATAGAGATCCCCCTTTTTCTCCATCTATTTTCTCTGTAAAATATTTTAGTACTAATAGTAATTAAACTTGCACTATGTAAGAGCTAAACCTGCCTTTTTATAGTCTTTACTTTGCATTAAATGTTATTTAGACATTTATTCACATGACAAGCCTATAATCAACTCTCTAGAACATCGGATGGCCGAGATTTATTTGGATTGAAACAAGATCACCATTCAATAATTCGCGATTGTCAAGTACCGTTGCCACGATAACAACCAATCTACGTTACATCTGCGAATGATACCTCCGCTCAGAATAAAGTAATTTGAATGAAATTTACAATATATAAGCCCCGGCTTGTTATCAGATCCCAGATTTATACATATTATATTTTATATTATGTAAATATTTATTGAATAAATAGTGTTAGAAAAAAAATATATATTCATTTTTCATCACATGTTTGAACTATTATAGCCCGCTTAACAGTAACCAGCTAATTTCGGAGCTAACACAGGGGCTGTATATATGTTTCAATGACATAATTTGAGTGAATTTGTTTTTAGAAATGAGAGGAAAGCAAGGTACACAGAGAAAAAAACCCGCGGTTATGCCGGTGATCCGACTAACTGTCTAGATTGGCCTCAGGTCTATAGAAATACTAGTTATCTCAGCATATTGTTCTGTACAAATAAGATCTTTCATTCAGCGGTTTTGATTCTACACTTGTACGTGACAAGGAGTAGGGTCTTCCGTCGTGGGTTTTCTTCGTGTTGATGCCACCTTATGCCCATCAACAATAGCTAAAATCATTATATTTTAAAATCAATCTGATTAAACACAGTTCCTATTTCGTTTCGTTTTTATAGTTCAAAATTTCGTTTTACTTGTCTTCACAACACAAGGCTCTGGGAGGGGTTGTTATATAACAGGCATTCTAGTTGATGTGAGGAATTAGCCAATGAAACGGTTACGGCAAAGCTGATTGTTTAATCAATGTCTGACGTCATAGGTCAACGCCACTCGTTTTAACTCCTGACGAGACCTCCCACTACAACTGGTCAGATCTTCGTGTAGTGAGGGCACCGAAAATATATAAAAAACGAAATATAAATCTGTATTCTAATCAGATTGTTCTGATATTAAAAAATACCATACCTATTATAAAGTTCCACTTGTGTTTTGCGGTTATAATAGTCACACTGGTTTATACATTCTTGCCAACACGACTCTATATTACAATCTTTTATAATCTGGTTAACATGAGTTCTATCTCCTTCTTGATAAAAATTCATCTCTCGAACCTTCAGAAGGAAAACGGTAATTTGTATTGTAATAAACTATGATGATTTGTAATCATAATGAGAGGTGGTGTTATGGGAAAAGGTAGTTCGATCGTTAAGGACTTTTGCTGGCTTGGTGTCCTTTAGATAGTGAAAGCGAGTCCTTTAGAATTCGTAATAGCGAGTCGGCGTCTTACCCACTTAGCCACCGTGACTCCCCTAATGCAGATAGGCATACGCAACACAGTGTTCTATGAGGGAAATTTCACCCGGGCAATGGCGCTACCGCATACTCTTATATCGAATTGGGGGTTGGATGGCTGAATGGTTAGCGTGTGCGCGCTGTATCATAAAGTCTGTCATTGAGTCAACTCGCTTGGTTTCGATTCCCCGGATGTACGTGACAAGGAGTAGGGTCGCCCGCCCAACCTCGTGGGTTTTATTCGGGTCCTCCGGTTTCCTCCCACTGCTAAAGACCCCTACGCGCAAGCGAATTATTGAAATAAAATTAAACCATATGTTAGTCCCGAAATTACCTAGTTTGTGTTGAGTGGACGTTAAACCCCATCTCGATGTATATTTTATCTCTCGCCTACCTTAATAGGATCCATTCCATGTTTATCGATGATGTGCTGGATTGCATTTTCTATGATAAAAAAGGCCTGTACACTGCCACAAGCACGATTGGATGTATTCGACCGGATATTGGTTTTACAGAAATGACAGGATACACGAAAGTTTGGTATCTTGTAGACGTTATCACTTCTCCGTAGAAGATTGTCAAGCGTCTGAAATGAAAACAGAGAGACATTGTCGTTCAATATGAGTAAAAATATTACAAAATCTTGTTGACAATTCTGATATTTGGCCATTGGCACCACCACTATTATATATAGATTTGACTGCAGAATAGATACTAATGATGTTTGACATGGACCTACCACAGCCCATTAACGAAGAATGGTGACGATGAAGCAGAAAGTTTAAGAGAAACTACAATATGTAAAATTAAAACGAGTGGGAAAAACACAATCTGATTAAAATACAGATCTGTATTTCGTTTCGTTTTATTTTATACTTTCGATGGCCTTCACTACACGAAGATCTGACCGGTTGTAGTGGGCGGTCGCGTCATGGGTCATGCAAGCGGCCTTTGACATTATGGCGTCAGACATTTGACTAACCAATCAGCGTTGATGTTTCAGGTGGGTATTTGGATATACAACCTTTGCTTTGTCTTCGCTGCGGATCTCTACCCAGTTCCGTGCACCGCACGCCAAGCACTCGCCAGAACAGACAATTTCACTGGTTTTTCCGTCACATTAAGCGGGTTACAAAAAAAACCTATTCCAAATCCATGTGTAGTGAAGACAAGTAAATCGAAATTGTAAACTATAAAAAAACGAAACGAAATAGGATCTGTGTTTTAATCAGAATGGGAGAATCAGAAGCAGAATTTACACAAAACGATATTTATGTCCTGTATGTAATATCCTAAAGGGTAAAGTGTCGAAGATGGCAATATGTACTATTTTGACTTCCGATTTAAAGTGATAGTTGCATTTTATTTTAAGTCATATGTTTAAAATATGTTACAATAAAGCTCATAAATTCTATAAAGGTCCAGCATTGTTAAAGAATTATACTATAAATAACCATTGCTAGTTAAGAAATTGGCAAATATATTATTTTCAAACTGAAACAGAAATGTTGAACATTGCTAATTCCATGTAGAGTACAGCAAACAAGGGAGATAATTTCCGGTATTATAATTCTTTTAAGTGCTAGATAGGTCCTATTATTGCATAATATTTAGTGATTTGACAAACCTATTATGCAAGAGATACAGAGATACAGAAATAACTATATTTTGACTTCTAAGAAAATATGCCAATTTCGCATTAAACATGATATTTGTTATTAATGTTGCAGATATATCCGTAGCAACTGTCCAGCTTCAAAATCATTTCAGTGTTCAAGTTAGTCGAGCTGCAGAATCATTTCAAGTGACAGCAGAGTCAGAGAAACGGAATTTCAAAAATGATAAGTATAATCAGTGTAATCTGCCTCGTACACGATATACACCGATAGTTAGAACCCAGTTTGATGAAGTCAATATGTTACTGTGTTTAAGATAATCAAGTTACTGTGGGCAGTAGCTGGGTGATGTTATGTCCTCTACATATGAATCTAGCTTGTTGTGGCCTCTCATCAATTCGTATATTAGTATTCATATTGTGAGTTGGATATTGAATTCAAGCTTATCTACTTACTGCGTCTGATCCGTGGAGTGAATCACCACAATTAGCATAAACATTCACATCTAGACATACAATACGACCATCCGTCGAATATCCAACCTTAAATAAAAGAAACATATTAGAATTACAATCTTGAGAGTAAGTGGTAGAGTACCATCCCAAACATAAAAAAGCGCATAACGTATTAAAAAAAACTTTAAAATAACAGAAACCATACAACTTTTAAATAACAGCAACATAACAAAATTTCAGAAATAACACACATCATAACAAAAACACCTAAGAATAACACACAACATAACTACACGACTTTAAAATAACACACAGCCCAAAATGCAACTTTAAAATAGTACACAACACAGAAATACAACTTTAAAATAAGAGACACTATAACAACAACACCTAAAAATCACACAGCATAACTTTAAGATATCACACAACAGAACAACTAAACTTTAAAATAACACATAACATAACAACAGAACTTTCCAATAAAACACAACATAGCAACAGAACTTTCAAAATAACACACAACAAAACTTTAAAATAAAACACAACATAACAAAACCAAAACTTTGAAAGTAACACACGCCACTACAAAACTTAAAAAAAACACAACATATCAAAAAAAGCTTTGAAAATAACACCCACCATAACAACTAAGTTTTAAATGTAAAACACACCATAACAAAACTTTAGATAAACACACAGCATAACAACAACAAAATTTAAAGGACAATATTGGTGCCAGTCATTATCACATAATTTCAACACAGAGATCATTGCTACGATAGCTGAGTAATACAGGTTTCCTGAATCGGAAGTGACGAACGCCACAGGAAAAAACGAGTCATACCTCTATATAACGGACTGATATGACGAGTGATAACAGATACACGGCCGAATTTCTGCTCACTAATAATTCCATCATTATATGTGATAATGACTGGCACCAATAGTCTACTTAAAAGGAAAACGTACGTATTACAATGTTCTACAAATAAAACTTATTTGAGTGTAAAAAAATGTTCAAATACTTGCTGTGTATTTCGCCATAAAAGGATGTCTTGTTCCTGTCATGACCATATCATCATCTCGCTCCAAACAACATCTCATTGGTAAATTATATCTAGTTGACAGGCAAATATACCACAGTTAATATACAACAACTAATAGCTAGGTTATATCTAGTTGACAGATAAATATATCACAGTTGGTGTACAACAACTAATAGCTAGAATTATGTCTAGTTGACACACATATACAACATCTTATAATCAGGATATATCTAGTTGGCAGACATATACAACATTTTATAGCCAGATTATATCTAGTTGGCAGACATATACAGCATTTTATAGCTAGGTTATATCTAGTTGGCAGACATATACAGCATCTAATATCTAGGTTATATCTAGTTGACAGGTAAATACAACAATAGCTAGGTTATATCTAGTTGACAGGTAAATATATCGCATTTTTGATATACAACAGCTTATAGCTAGGTCATAACTAGTAGACAGATATATCTCGTTGATATAATTATATAACATTTAATAAACAATTATTATATCAGGGGTAGATTATATCTTAATACCATCTTGCTACCATAGACTCGTCATGACATATACTAAAATAATACAATCTTTTCAAAATGCTTTGGTTCACTTGCTTAAATTGGGGTTTCATAAAGTAAACAATGTATCACGGCATTCTCGGACTGCACAGTGCAGTTGACACGATCGACCCCGGATCCATTCACTTGATATTATGTCCTGTCCACTTGTTTGTCTTCTGGTGGACCCGCTGGTTATTATAACAAATTTTCTTAGAAGACGGTGATCAGGTCAAATCGATTTATTAGACCCACATTATCTATATTGGTATCCGCGGCTTTGTCTTCCAGTGGATTGCAGGAATTTTGAAACCCAAGCATATATAATGGTAAGTTTTTCCTATGGGTGATAGTATGCCTGGGTGATGTAAATTTAACTGTCACACAGAAAAGGGCTGTGGTTAGATGCATTGCAAAGGTAAGAAATACACGAACCAAATTGTAATCTCGTTTTAATTATATTGGTTATTATGTGATCTGTTCTGGTCTAGCACTCCTTATAATAATCTAATCAAGACATTTGCCATTTAATTAAAATACAATTTTTAAGATCAATTACTGGAACATGGATAGTTGGAAAGGTAAACAAAACTATCTTACTTTCTGGCTGCTACTGCTGCTAATACAGCTGTAGGGATATTCTGTGTATTCTTACCACCAAAACCACCACCTTTATAAATAATAATAATTGAAATAAGATGAAATGGGGTTTAACGTCCTACTGTTCTGCTCCGACTGGGCTAATGAAGACGGGCATTCGCCATACAGTGTACTATGACGAAATGTTGCCCGGGCAGCGGCACTATGGCCTACACTTATATCAAATTCCTACTGCCAAGGGATCTTTTAAGTGCACGCTATTGTATACACGGGTCCTCGGTTTTCCGTCCCATCCGAATGACTAGACATCTGTCCTTGTCAGGCCCTCCATCCTGCACCACTAACATTGGCAAACCACGCCGGAAAATCCCGATGAACTTTCTCGGCCAATGCAGGGATCGAACACATATCGAATTTCAACTGCAAAAGGATCTTTTACGTGCATGTGTACTAGCTATCTTGGTTTTCGTGTTATCCGAACGACTATATGTTATTTCTTGCCAGGCAAATCGTTCTGCACTATTGAGAAAGGCGAACCACGCCGGGAAAATCCCAATGGACTTTCTTGGCCAACACCGGGACCGAACACGGGATCTCCAGGTTAGCGGGCTACCGAACCCCCTTTTGAGTAATGTAGGAAGTATATTTACCAAGTCTTTTAGTATAGCATTTGACCTTATGACACGGAACTCCAAGCACGTGAGCCACTGATTCCTAAAAAAAATAGGGTAAAGTTAAACGTGGTTACAATCAAGGCGATGGTATGTCTAAACATTTTTTTTAGAGAGAGAGAGAGAGAGAGGGGATCTAACGTCCACTCGACACAAACTAAACATATACAACCCCATTGATTACACCAATGTATGTTGTGCGATATTATCACCGCCATATCGCCAATCTTGGCGAGAATCCTTCAGTATGTCAAATATTCTATATCGGTACTTATAACTTACAGCATACCAATTCCAGTTATTTACGTCTCAAAGCGACCGTTTAACAGGCGTTATGCAAGAGCTAAATCTGCCAAGTGTGGGTCTTTCTTTAAGCCTTAAATATTACATAAACTATTAATTAGACAATTATTAACATGACAAGACCTAATAAACCCTCGATGTCTCCGATATTAAATAGATTAGAACGGTTAGGCCATTTAAGGATTTAATTTAAAAATGTAGAAGCGAGACTAAGCTTCAGACAACCACTATACGGTAGTTAATACAATCAATGCACACATCCTGTCAAACATTCAAAGGCTAATATCTTCGCTCAGAATAAAGTAATTTGAATAAAATGTTCAATATATTCATTTTGCATTATCTATTTTTGAACAATTATAGCAAGAATGTCTAGCTCTTTATCTAAATCTAACATAATTCTAATTCGTGTATATACTTTTAGAAAAAGCCAAATAAGATAAAAGTATATCTGTAATTACGATAGCAGACATATTCATGCTATAGCGCTCGGTTACTATAAATCTATAAATATCCCTGTTTCAACAAAACATACGGTGCCTATGTGTCATCATAAAACGGGCATGCTCTGGCATATCTAGGATGTGAGAAACATAGTCCTAGAGCCACCGATCTTTGGACTACTCACTTCATGAAACGGCCATAACACATGTACAACGGGTCAATTAAATCTTTAAAAGCCTGTATGTCAGCAATATGTTGGTAGATCTTCTCGAACATTTCCGAATGACTTGTATCGTCAAACTGAATATTTACCGATTAACAATGGTCGCCAAAGCAGGAGTTTTATATACATAAAATATGGTATCATCAATACTAAAGGTCATTTATAGTCAAAGTCCAAAAATACAAAGTGACAGAATAGTTTTGTTGGGAGTGCCCCAGGACGCTTAGTAATGGCGGCATTGCAGTTAAGTGACACGGTATTGAGTCCCTTCACGGTTCTGTCAGTCCCGAAAGCAGAAGTGATGTGAGTTGAATCATGACGTAATAAAACGTTTCAACTATGATGATTGGTCGCAATAGTATCATATTCAAGTTGCGTGTGCCTTGCAGACATGCATTCCTTTGTGTACTCGACTGACACATGTCTATGGTGTTCAATACGCTGTAAGACTTTAATATAAATGTTTTACTTGAACCCATGCTGGACATTGAGCTGAGCTGTAAAGATCCATTTCGTCTCGTTCGTTTGGTACAGCTATGGCTGATTGAGTCTCAAGATAGAAATGCTCCTGGGCTCCCATATAAACTTCCCCTTCTAGCACTTCTTCGCATAATTCAAATCCTTTATCAACGTCTCCACATCCATTTACTAAAGGTTCTCTCCAGTACGAGTCGTTGGTGATAGCATCCTATAATAAAGACGTAAGAGGGTGGGTGCGGTAGAGTTTTACTGTTATACGAGTAGTTGATGAACGCATCTAATATTAAAGGTCACCGGAAAAGCCTCCATTTTTTTCAAATACTACAAGTAATTATGTCAACATATCCTTTCCATAAGTATAATCCGAACCCGAATGTCTATATTACCTGCAACAGGTAAATTTCAACATAAGTAATTTCCGCCAATCTCCGTAGGTAGTCGTAACTTTCCGTCAATAAGCAATCCGTGACGTCATTTTAGTCCTTCTGCGCATAGAAATATAGACTAGAATATGAGCAGAAGGACGACAATGACGTCACATTCGAGTTCGTGTTATACTTATGGAAAGGATATGTTGACATAATTACTTGCATTATTTACAAAATTTATGAACCTTTTCCGGTGACCTTTAATGATATAAGATATGTTGGGTGAAAGACAGAGGTGTACTGATGTACGACTTAATGGTGACCACGACATATAATAATAATGAGATGAGATTTAGGGTAAAGGTTTAGTGTACTACGACTTATTGGTGACCACAGCCTATAATAAACATATAAAGGAGTAAGAATTGAGGATATATGGAAATACGACTTATTGGTGACCACAACCTATAATAATAAGATAAAATAATTATGTTGGGTTGGAGTATGGGTTTTCTGCAATACGACTTATTGGTGACCACAACCTATAACAGGGATATAGGATGAAAGGGAAGGAGTGGGGGATATAGGTTTACTGCAATACGACTTATTGGTGAACTCATCGTATAATAAGAAGATAAGATATCGGTGGGTTGGGATTAAGTGGGGGGGGGGGGGTACAGGTATACAACTTCTATATTGGCATAACCGGGTGCAGATTGGAAGTTTACCCCAGTCCGACTGTTTGGTAACCAATAATAACAACTTAATATACGAAATGGTGCCGTGTTAGATATTCAGCCCATTTAATGACTCATAAGCATAAAGCCAGTATCGGTTTTACCTCAACGGTTATAATAGCCGGGAGATCTTGGTACTTTATATCCACCATTTTACTCGCTTCACGTGCTGTTTGACTTGACGTAGCTACCACACCACCTATCAAACAACCTTCACACGATACCTAGACAACAATATAAATGTAAAATTATGTAAACAACTTTCCCCGTTACCTAGACAACCTAGAGATTTTGGTTTGTCCAATTACAATTACAACAAGACACATTAATCTGTGGTGAAGGAGGTGGGGAGTAAGTTGAGGAATCGAACCTTGGCCATTTCTCTCATAAACCTGGATGACATCGCAAATTACCCGATCCACAACACCCCAGTGGAACCTCACAAAATACTCTACTCCCAATAAATACATGGAGCTCAGGGTTTGTCTAATTAAAACTCTGGTCATACTAGTATTCTGTAAGGGGTGGGAGGTTCAACCTTGGTCATTTTTCCCTCATGAAAAGGACGGCGACATACCTCGTCAACAGCAAAAAAATCCTCAGCGCAAATTACTATCCTATTGACTCCTGGTATATCTCTATAATCTATGTAACCTTTGACCCCAGGTATTTGTAAAGCTGCTGATGGATCGATGTCTTGTAAAGTAGCATGAGATCTGGAACTGTAAACTGGTGCCACAAATAATTCCCCTGGAAAACAATAGAAAGCACTATCTATATTTAAAGACCTTCTAACGTATCATGGTCCTGTTGGACACGGGCATATACCATACGGTGTGCTATGGTGTGGATTTTTCAGGGGCAGCGGCACTACAGTCTACTCATTTGTTACGGGTTCTCATATGTGTACACAGGACCTAACGACTACACGTCGTCCCTTGGCAGGCCCTCCATTTGGCACCACTGAAAATCGAACACGGGACGTCCAAGTTAGCGAGCCAAAGTCAAATCTAGTGCAAAGAACCTGTTGGTGAAATATATTCATATATGCTTAAAACAAAGGCAGTTTTGGAATGATCGATACGATCAACACGATTGCTACGACTGACCTCAATAGATGATGAGACCTGAACGGATCATTGCACGAATCGTGATAGTGGAAACCTAGCATTAGGTGTTGAATTCGCTTGATCTGTTTGGGTTATTTTGATTAGAGATCGGTTACATTCTATAAGATTTAAGTTTCATTTTGACATATTTAGTTTGTTTCGGTTTGGATTAGGCTCCATATATATGGAACACAAGTTCACGTACATCGCACATTGGCACTTTTAGTGGACCAAATGTAGAAGGATACACGCTTCATAAAGTAAATACACGCATTAAACATGACGAGCACCCTATCCCTATAACAATATAACAGATCATGAACAAAAGAAATTTAAAACATGACATCGTAAGCCATGAGAGAGCGATCAAATGAAGGGAAGAGGATGACCATTTGAACCAACACCTTTCATGGGCACTAATAAAAGTAACACACGGACAATGGACAAATAAAAAACCCAATCTGATTAAAATGCAAATCTATCTTTCGTTTCTTTTATTTTATACTTTCGATGGCCTCCACTACATGAATCAGTGCAGATTAAACGTAAACTGAAACTTTGAACAATTAAAAACGAAACTAAATATCCGGGATCTGAGTTTTAATCACATTGTAAGACACGAAAGGAGTGTTCGATGAAGTAAGGAGGTGACAATGGGAATTTCAGTACCTTTTCTGGGCAGCATATCATCAATATAAACCGCTTCTCCTGTAGTTTGTTGGTAAGCTGAGTTGTGAATAATTGGTCGTCCTATTGGATTGTCATCTTTCTGAGCGGCACCTACTAATTCATAAACCTGAGTTCCCTTACTAGGTCCCAATTCATGGGTTTCTATAGCACTAAGGTAAGAATGAGGTGTTGGTTTTCCTTGGAGTATACCCTGAAATAGATCATGTTAGTCTTTGTAAGCAGAACTCAATCTGATGTCATTGTATTGGTCCTAACTTACGGGATTGCTATTGCAATGTTGTGAGATCAAAGTGGTTGGTTTCCCAAAATAAAACAATACCAGCTGGTGCTAAATAATGTTTTCTAGCATTAAGAAGAGATTAATGATGGTTTCACCAAGTGATGTCCTTAATTAGAGAGCTGTTGCTGTGTGACTGTTAAAATGTATCATTAGTGATATTGTAGATACATTTCTACGGGATTGCTATTGCAATGCTGTGAGATCAAAGTGGTTGGTTTCCCAAAATAAAACAATACCAGCTGGTGCTAATGATGGTTTCACCAAGTGATGTCCTTAATTAGAGAGCTGTTGCCGTGTGACTGTTAAAATGTATCATTAGTGATATTGTGGATACATTTCTATAAAATTGTTGTATGTTTGTTAAATGCGCCATTAGAAATATTATAGACACATCACTATAAAGCTGATGTGTAGATGGGTTACTATTAAGTTGTTTGGTGGCTGTTAAAGCGCCATTAGAGATATTGTGGATACATTACTATAAAACTGTTGTGTAGCTGTTAAATCCTCATTAGAAATATTCTAGACACATGACTAAAGAGTTGTTGTGTGACTGTTAAATGTGTCATTAGAGTTATTTTGGATGCCTTATTATAAAGTTGTTGTGTGACTGTTCAAATGTGTCAATAGAGAAATTGTAAATACCTTACTATAAAGATGCTGGGTGATTGTTAAATAAAACTTAAAGAAGAAACTAGTGGTTAAAGTTTTTCTGTATTCTACTATACCACCAGGTGATCCAGGATTTAAAGGTAAATCTTCTTCCAGGTATTGACAAGCTTCCGGTACCAAATTATCCTCCCATTTTCTGAAAAGACAACATTCAAACCATGAAAAAGTGATATTAAAGGATAAATGCTACATGATCCTCTAAATCATTTCCTAAATTCAATCAAATTATTGACTCCAAAACCTTCTTTAAAATATAGTTTAATAAAAACCTTCCAACTAAATATCTCATTGTATTTTTGGCCATAACTGTAGTTGGCGCCATTCCACCATAAGATAAATACACTTCTTTGATGACGTCAGACTCATCTTCAAACACAACCCTCATTCCAGCGTTTACTATTGTAATATCATCCTCTTTCCTCAACGCTTGTTTATAGCTTTCAAAATAGTCATTCTAAAATATAATAATAATGAAAACCATAATTATGTTATCATAAGACAATGCTGCTAGTGGGACTGTCCCAGCAAGGGTGACAAGAATTTGCAACGGCGCCCCAGTTGGTTTTAGTAGCTGCCATAGCAAACGCCAAGCCAAACAAACGTATGTCAGAAGATCGCGAGTTCTCCAGCAGATTCGTGTGCAGTGTGCTATGAGGCCCAATTTTCCCGGACAACACATCAAGGATCCTTACCCATAACCCCAAGAGCAGGTCGTAGCGCCACATTTCCCCCATGAATGCAACTACTTACCTTGTGGGTAAATGGAATTGTTATAGATACAAGAATTTCGTTGTTTTTAATTACTGTCTTTCTATAACCGGTGAAGAAATCCGCGTCCATTACAACTCGTCGTTTGACCTTATCTGAAGAAGAATATATTACGAATTTAATTTGATAAAAGTTTAAAGCTTCTAAAACATACGACATGAAATGAAAGAAATGGGGTACTGTGGTGCTCGGACAACGACTTTTCCACCAACTCTTCAATGAATTTCATATGTCAAGGGTAAACTGAACCTAAGATGTCCGTCCCATCCCGGCAATTAAATGCTGTTCTTTGTCAGATCTTCCCTTAATAAGAGGAAACTAGGCTGGGGAATTCCCCAAACTTTCTCGGCCAACATCTTGGTCGAACAATGCACCCCAAAAGTAGTGAGTCAGCATCTCACTCAATGTGTCACAATGGCTGGATCGGAATATATCGATGAATGCCGATTGCATTATCCTGGCGAATACTGTACCTGTAGATATAACTTCTAATACGGTTGTACTGGCTTGAAGTACTGGATTTAAATCAGATATAGGACTAGCTGTCATTATATTCCCTCCTATAGCCTAGAAGAAAATATTAATAAAATGTGATATAAATAACGAGAGTTGGAAGCTAACACTGCATACGTACATCTCAATGCTTGGCATATGATGGTACCCATTACACAATTAAAAGTTCAACATCGACACATACGTAACATGCGCATTTGGAATGTGTGTATCAGTATTTAATGTCGCGGTGATATATACGTTTAATATAATTCGTATTAACGATGTACATGCCTCGGTATTTTTATGTATATAAACCGCATTGCTTAATATAATTCTTAATAACGATATATATATACCTCGGTATTTTTGATGTATATAAATCGTATTGCTTAATATAATTCTTAATAACGATATATATATATATATATATATATATATATATATATATATATATATATATATATACCTCGTTATTTCTGATGTATACAAACCGCAATGCTTAATATAATTCTTAATAACGATATATATATATATATACCTCGTTATTTCTGATGTATACAAACCGCAATGCTTAATATAAATCTTAATAACGACATACATACCGCGATATTTCTGATCTGATTACTGGCAAACCATTTCAACATTTCCACAACAGCTTTTAACACTCGGCATTTTTCTTCTGAAATCGATTTCAAAGGAAACTGAATCATAAAAAAATCTCGTAGACGTTTATATAGAATAGGGGACGCGGGGAGGGGGGGGGGGTAAATGAGCTAGTTTAACATGCAGTGGATTTGAGGTTTTTAGAATTATACAGTATAAGTTCTTGGTATGTTTAAATTCGACAGTGTTACCCCATCCCCACCCCAACCAGAAACACACACACACTTTCCTAAATATGCCAGTGGTTTGAGAGATTTCCCTAACGTCATTTATTCTGCTGGTTTGCGAGGATTTCCTAAAGTTAAGTATGCTGCTGGCTTGAGAGGTTTCCATAACGTTTAGTATGCTGCTGGTTTGAGAGGTTTCCATAACGTTAAGTATGCTGCTGGTTTGAGAGGTTTCCGAAACGTTAAGTATGCGGCTGGTTTGAAATGTTTCCATAACGTCAGGTATGCTGCTGTTTTGTGAGCGTTCACTGACCACAAGTAAGCTACTGGTTTGAGAGGTTTCCATAACTTCGAGTATTCTACTATTTTACATTACCTGTGGAATTATCAATGGCTTGCTGAAGGACCTCTTCTACCTTAGATAAAGTTACAGACGCACCAAATTTAATACCACCTTCAGTAGATGTTATATTTGTAAGTTCGGGAATATTAGACGCGTGGATCAATACGTCATATTTAATATTCTTAAATCTTGTTTCTATACCTTAAAAATATCAAATTATTTCTATTTTAAACTCATTATATATTTTATCTTAAATTCATGAAAAAAATACTGTTAACTCTTTGACAAGGAAAGCGTGGCTAGTTGTTGAGATGGGACGAACAATATCCGAATGACTGAATTTCTGACTGACTGACTGACTGACTGACTGACTGGATGAATGAATGAATGAATGAATGAATTCATGAGCACATGAAATGGGGTTTAACGTCCTTCTGTTCTGCACCAACAGGTCTAATGAAGATGGGAATATGCCTTACAGTGTGACATAAGGGAAATTTTCCTGGACAGCGGCTCTACGGCCTACTTTTAATTTCGAATTCTACCTGTCAATTGTTCTTTTAGGTGCATGTAAATATGTGCAAGTGACTTCGGTTTTTCATCCTATCCTATCAACTGTGGGTTGTTCCTTTGTCAGACCATTCGCCCTGTACTAGAACAATATCGGTGTGGACTACAAATTGGTAGTAAACGTAACGGATAACATTGAAGTTTCAATTCAAACAAGAGCAGACGTAAAATAGATGTCCATGTAAAATGTTATACTTAGAGTGCTCGCCATATACAAAAACAAATCAACACATGTTAGTTGTAACGAATTGTGTTACCAAGACGCTAAAACCAAGTTTCTCCTTGACTGTTAAATCTAACCATTAACTGACAAAAACTAAAGCATTTGAAGAGACCCGGGGAAGAACGATCTAAGTCACTTTTTCAGCAAACCCCAGTTTATGGCGCCATCTGGTAGCAAATTTTATAAGCTTTCTGTGGAACACTTAATTTCAGGTAAATACGATTGGAGTCACATCGAACCAAGGCCCTTCTGAAATGACCTCCCGGACAAATACGTCCATCGTACCCTTTATTTGACCTTAATTTGTCTGAAAAGTGGAAGTCAGTTCTTGTACTGGTAATTATGATTCGTATTGGACATCATTTTGAAGTTGTAATTAAACCCACTCGTTGTTCTGTTCGCGTCAAGCATTCTTGTCCAAAAATCTGTTTTGCCTTTTAGGCGAAAAGACAAAAATGTGACTCAGATCGTTCTTCCCATGGACTCTTCATGTGTATAAAGACGTCACAACGTTAAAAGGCATAAACAGGCAGCTTTATGGATGAAATTCACTAGGCTTATTAACTGCAACGTTTCAATTTCATCGTTATCAAGCAATGCAAACGTTAAAGGTACTACTAAAAAAAACAATGTTTGCACATATGAAATTTTTTATATTAGATCACTATATACACTTAAACTACTTTATTTATGTTACACATTAGTTTAATAACATTTCTTACCGATTTCTGTATTACCAATAATAATTTTAGCATCAGGGTATTTTTGTTTTAAATCTAACAATTCAGTTAATGTAGTAGGTCTGTACCATTTTACTCCATTATTATGAAACAGTAGACTCGTCTTGTGGTATTTAGCATAATTTACCTTAAAACACAGCATTTTTATTGAAAACATTGAAAAATCACATATAGATTCAATCTAAACTAAATACATGATGGAGCACTAATTTAAGTTTTGGAATTCAAACTGTATGGAAATAACCAAATAAATGGAGAGGTTGTCCTTTTAACTTTGTGTCATTGTAAGCTTGCAACGCTCCTACACAGAGAGAGAGAGAGAGAGAGAGAGAGAGAGGGGGGGAGAGAGAGAGAGAGAGAGGGGGCGTTAACGTCCACTCGACACAAACTATGTCATTTCAGGACTAACAAGTGGTTCTATTTTATTTCAATAATTCGCTTGTGCCTAGGGGTCTTTAGGAGTGGAAGGAAACCGGAGGACCCGGAGAAAACCCACAAGGTTTGACAGGCTAATTTGTAGTTTCGGGATATTTTCATTTTTGATTAGTACATGTATTACCTACCTTTAACTCTGGGGGAAATATCGGTTCCTGTGTCGGATCATAAGGTGAAATGTAAGCCTCGCTCTGAAAATATACCAAATTAGGTAATTTATTTATTTTAGGGGGGCTTTATTTGCAAATGTAATGTTTATTTATTCATTTAAAGATACATTATGGAAGATTAGATAAAGAGGCGGCAGTTCTCACTATAATAGTTAAAAACTAGATAATGTAATGGAAATTTGCTGAAAATTTCAGTCACATTAATCCACTATGAACCGAGAATTAAACGATTGAAATTTCGGCCTAGCTTCGATCATCATTACTAAAGTCGGTACGATAAAACCCATAGTCTCGATTATCCATTTTATGATTAAATCATGAATGAAAGTTGAGCAGCAAATCGGATCATAATACAATAAATATTGCAGGTTAGCGTTGACATCGATAGTTGATTATGGCCTGGATAGGTTAATTAATATCTAATTAATAATTTAGATAACATTTCAGGCCTAAAGAAAGATCTGCAATAGGCAGATTTAGCGCTTGCATAATGTATGTTTAATTATTCATTTAGATGAGGGGCTTATGCTTATACGTTGAATGTATCATGATCATAAAATCACCATATGTATATAAATAGCAATGTTATACAATCCCGTATTCAAGAAAGAATGTGTAAGTGGGCTAAACTTCTCTGACTTCGGTATTGTTGTGGGTTGCTATATATTATTTTGATTAGTGGTGTGGTATTTGTTCCCAAAGATTAAATGAAAGTTGATTTGTTCATCAATTCTGGTTTGAAATTTGACCTAGCCTACTGTGTTTACAGTAGTGTGACACCAAATCTCAAATCTTTTTTATCGGACAAATTGTCATCCCATATGACAAAATAACAGAAAATGAAACAGGATTGGTTCTTGTACGGTTATGTTTGTGATGAGGATTACCTTTTCTTCTTTGTTATCATTTTTGTTGTCATCGCCTTCATTTTTATTTCTACAACAATTTTCACCCAATGCACAGGCTTCCTAGAATAAGAAAACATATTAGCATATACTGTCATGTGCATACTGCCATGCTTTTCAATTTGTTCTAACAACTATACCAAACCTGATTTATAAACTCTGTTTTATACATTTAAGGTCGATAGCTGCTCGAACCCAGCCCAAACAAGAAATGAAGAAATGTAAAACATGTACATTCAAAGAGTTAAATGAGTGGACCTATCCTTTACCATCTACAGGCAATCTTGATTCATTACAATACATTGACTACACTAACTGACATACGTCCAATACCTTGACTGTATTTGAAACCTTTTGCCCGAGACATTGATTGTATTTGCCTCTGGGTAGTGCACGAGATTGACCATATTTTTCAGGATTTATTAGAATAATAATAATAAACAAACAAGCGGAATCAATCCGAACCATTGGTCAAATTACGAAGTTGGCGAATTAGAAAAAGTCGAGTAATCCATTTTGTTGTTCTCACTGGAGGAAATATTTTTGTAAGAATTAAATGTATGACGAAAACTGTTAAAATTGCCATTTCGTTATTTATTGAATGCATGATGAACTGAACCGTGGAATAAAAATGGCTGACAAACACTTTACCTTAGAAAAAGACCGATAACCATCCAGGATTGGTCGATATCCGGTACATCTACATAAATTACCTTAATAAAAATACATAAAATATTAATTATCCTTTAATAAAAAAAAATATCTATTTATCCTCATTTTTTATAAAAAAATATGATATTAATTATATTTTTATGGCTACATTTATACAAAAACATAACACATCAATCCTTATTTTGTAAAAATATACAAGAGTATTTAACCATATAAAAAAATCACATTAAATTATTTATGTCCTTTGAAAACAATATAAGGTTAATTACCCTTTCAGAGAAACATGTAAGATTATTCATCGCTTTTAGAAAACTATATGACATAAAATATATATGGTTGATTATCGTATTAAAATAAAGACGGGCATACAAGAAAACGTATCTCAGAGAAAGGCGATAAATGGTTCACAGCAGTAGATGCAGAGACTAAAAGAAAACAAAAAAAACCCTATTATCTCTGTTATCATAGGTATCAGATGTTCCAGGAAGAATGACTGACCAGGGAAACCTGCGCAAGGGAAGCCCTCCCTGGGGGAGTGGCCATCGACAGCATTATCCCTGTCAGCTAAAAGTAAAACAAGGGTATCCTTTCTATAATTCTCTTTTTTGTCTCTTTGTACCATCGATGGTTGGTGATTGTTCACCCTAACTTCTAGCCATGCGTCTCATTGTACCATCAATGGCCATGAGTTTCAGTGTACCATCAATGTTAAATAAATACTGTTTAAACCAATGGTTAATGATTGATTACCGTAACTGCTAAATGTTTCTATATTTATACCATCAATGGTTGATGATTGTTTACCCTACCTTCTAGCCATTTCTCTATTTATACCATCGATTGTCTACGCTACCTGCTAGATATTTATATATTTGTGCCATCGATGGTTCGAGTTTGTTAACCCTAACTTCTAGAGATTTCTCTGTTTGTGTCATCGACGGTTGAATATTGGTTGATATTTGTACCATCGATGGTAGCGGATGGTTTACTCTACGTTCTATAAATTACTCCAATTGGACTATGCGGACTGCCTACCCTACCCCCACGATATTTTCAATTTATACTATAGATCGGTTAGGATTGCTTATCCTAATTTCTAGATTTTTGTACCATAGATGGTTGGGGGTTGTTTATCTTAATTTCTAGATATTGTTCAACTTGTATCATAGATGGTTGACGATTGTCTATCCTACCTTCTAGATATTTTTCTATTTGTACCATCGATGGTTGTGGATTATTTCGTAATAACGTGTACATCGACATGACCATACCCGGTGTACAGAAACCACATTGTGATCCATGATGCTTTGCTATTTGTTCCTAAAATATATTTATACACAACATGATTGTTATCTAATTCTACAGTACTGAAATTAAATCTTTTCAATGCAAATCGTATGCCAGTTACATCGAATATCAACTCGAATTTCAAATCATTTATCCAGAACAGATGTCGATAGAGGAAAATTTGCGACAAATAAGTCCCACTACTATGTACAATCATTGCTTTGCACGATTTTTACTTTTGTTTGTATTTGTGTTGGTTTATTCATTTAAAGGGACAATAACACTCTTGCTGGCTTGACAGCTCCAGAAATTAAAAAAATAGCCTAGGTGTCTTAGTGTCTTATCTGTTGTGTAAATTATCCATTAAATCCTATTTTACTTGTCCAGAGGGTTCAAAAATATTTTTAAATCCAAGTCACATTTGAAAAGCTTTACGTCAGGCTTTTCAAATCATTTAGTTGAATTTTTCCAATTTTTTAAATTAGGTGTGTTAAGATGAAATTTGTATCATCAATTAAATGGAATATTGTAAAATAGTACAATTTGTTGACCAGAATAAAGATTGGGACATATTATTCAGTTACAACAAGAGTGGTATTGAGCCTTTAAGTTTACAATTTGAAAGATCATCAAAATATTCGGATTTTCTACTGAATTCTCTTTTTCTATGGTATAACCGATCGATAGAAAGTTTGAAAGCAGGCTCTACAAAGATGTAGAACAATATTACGTAGAATGATAAACCCGTACGTCCCCATCGGGTTATTATGCCGAATAAAAGAAACGTACACCTCATATGTGAGTTAGTTTTATTTTACGTCCGTTTCCACCGAGGTGATATCACAGACAATGCACACCGCATATGGAGTTAGAGATAATAGTATATCAAATACTGTAACCATTGTTTAAAATTGTATTATCAAACTGATTATTATATGATTATAACGATTTGAATGTCACTCTGGGTTAACCCAACGATTTTTATATTCAAAAACTTACTCCAAGTAGAGTTATATTCTTATAAAAACTGTAAAGTAATCTTTGTCACCTGTCTATACAGCTCATTAATTAACGATATTGTTGATTGTACATGTATATATATATACATTGTATATTTCATGGTAGTTAAGTGGGTAAGACGCTGGCTCGCTAGCCTGGAGGTCGGGTGTTCCATCCCTGCATTGACCGAGAAAGTTCATCCAGATTTTCCGGCGTGGTTCCCCCTTGTCAGTGATGCAGGACGGAGGGCCTGACAAGGACAGCTGCCTAGTTGTTCGGATCGGACGAAAAACCGAGATCCCGTGTACACATTGGCGTGCACTTAAAAGATCCCTTGACAGTTGGAATTCGATATAAGAGTAGGCCGTAGTGCCGAGGTTTGGGCAAAATTTCGCTCATAGCACACTGTGTGGCGTGTGCCAGTCTTCATTAGCCCAGTTCGTAGCAGAACAGTAGGAAGTTAAACCCTATTTAATTTCATTTTATTTCATTTTGAAAATGGCCTGTGATGTCTTGTTGAAACGCTGCAGTATAATAAACCAAGTGATTGTATCCATAATAAGTGTTCTAGTATTATATCATAATGCAATTGCTAAATGCCTTTCAAGGATTAGATAATAAACCTCTAAATGGCCGACACAACCTTGGTGTATTAATGGAGATCAAGTATTACAGTTTAAACATACATTATGCAAGAGCTAAATCTGCTTATTGCAACTCTTTCTTTAGGCCTGAAATGTTATCTAAATTATTAATTAGACATTAATTAACTTATCAAGACCATAATCAACTCTCGATGAAATAGATAATCGAGACTAAATTATTAATTAGACATTAATTAACTTATCCAGACCATTATCAACTCTCGATGAAATAGATAATCGAGACTATGTTTTTATAGTAATGATGATCGAGACTAGACCGAAAATTCAATCTCTAAAATCTCGGTTCACAGTGGATCAATTTGACTGAAATTTTCAGCAAATTCCCTTTACATTGTCTAGTTTTTAACTATTATAGTGAGAACTGCTAGCTCTTTATCTAATCTTCTATTTTGTATCTTTACGTTGTAAACTACGAGAACCCAACTATGAGTACGTGTCTAAACACCATATGTCAAAAACGCGACAAGTGGGTTTTTTTATTTACACAGTGCATTTATATATCATAGTCATCGAGACCAATAAAAGATACGACTTTTTTTACTGATAAAGTTATCTTATAATAACCTTAATTTTATAATGTCTGACCTACCTTATATTTTATCACGCATGTGGTGGTTTTTTTTTTTGTTTTTTTTTTTGTTTTTTTTTCAAATATGAATGACTAAGCCTTATATAAGAGACTATTCGTATTATCTGCTGGAGCTGGCTATTAATCACGCTATATAAAATCCAACTGTGCATTATAATCAAATAAATTCATATACCTGATGTTTAAACTAACGAAGCGCCAGTTACATTTGTCGCTAGAATATCAAATTTCTCACGGCTTAAAGATACATTAGTTAAGAGTTTAATAAAGAGTTGGCCATTCTTGTTATAAAAGTTCGAAAATAGATAATGTAAAATGTACTATTTGAAAATTTCATTCAAATTACTCTATTGTGAGCGAAGATATTAGCCTTAGAAGGTTTGACAATACGTGTGCGATAATTGCAACTACCGTACTGGTTGTTCGAAGCTATGTCTCGCTCGTCCATTTTTAAATTAATCAAGATATGGCTGAACCCGTTCCAATCTATTTAAAATCGGAGAAATCCGATGCCATCGAGAGTTGATTATGGCCTGGGTCAGTTAATTAATGTTTAATTAATAATTTAGATAACATTTCAGGCCTAAAGAAAGACCTGCAATAGGCAGATTTAGCTCTTGCATAATGTATGTTTAATCCACGCTCAAATTTACTCTGGTTGATTATTTAACATTTAACGAAGAAAACAAAATCAAAATACCAACACTAGATAATGTCCCGGTTTGGATTCAATCGGATTTAAAACAGATTATCATTTAATTTTCGTGGACAACAAAATGGCGGCCGGTTTATTGCATAGCAAACAGCATAGATCGATGAAATTTCAATTTAATTTCACATATCTTTGTAAATACTCAACGCAATTTAACCATTATTGGACAGGTCCATCTTTCACGTGCTTAAATCGCGCATTGGGACTTTAAACAAAAAGGAGAGAGAGAGAGAGAGCAATGGGGTTTAACGTCCACTCGACACAAACTAGGTCATTTCGGGACTAACATATGGTTCAATTTTATTTCCATAATTCGCTTGCGCGTTGGGGTCTTTAGCAGTGGGAGGAAACTGGAGGACCCGGAGAAAACCGACGAGGTTGGACAGGCGACCCTACTCCTTGTCACGTACAACCGGGGATTCGAAACCCCGCCGGCTGACTCAATGACAGACCGTATGATACAGCGCAGCGCGCACGTGCTAACCATTCGGCCATCCAACCCCCCTAAACAAAAAGGAAACAGCTATTAACTAATTGAAAAGTCAATGAAAACACTGCTTTGTTTAATTAAATATGTGGATAAATATCATTATACATGTATTATCATCGGAAAAATCCGACGTGGTTTCCCCTTGTCAGTGGTGCAAGATGGGAGGCCTGATAAGGACAGCTGTCTAGTCGTTCGGATGGGACTAATCACCGTGGTCCCGTGTATAGATTGGCATGCACGTAAAAGATCTCTAGGCAGTTGGAATTCGATATAAGAGTAGGCCATAGTGCCACTGCCCGGGAAAATGTTCCCTCAAAGCACACTGTAGCCCAGTCGAAGCAGAACAGTAGGACGTTAAAACCCATTTCATTTCATTTTCAACGGGTCTTTTCTGTTGGGTTTATTGACGTCTGTTGGCAATGATTCGCCACTGTCAATTATCATAATATCATCGACAAGCAACTTATGGTGAATATTGAATGTCAGTTCGTGGTGCACGAGGGCTTTAAATACCCGGGTTGTGGTGGGGACTGTTTTACATACACGGGTTCATCTCGATTTGAAGGTCCGGGGTTCGATCCCGCTTCCAGCCGAGAAAGTTCCCCGCGTTTTTCCGTTCTGCGTGGTGTAGGACAGAAGCCCTGACAAAGTACAGTGTCCCATTTTGGTCGGGTGAGATGAATGAAAGGGGCCCCCGTGTACACATTGGCGTGCACATAAAAGAGCCTTTGACAGTTGGAATTCGAAATAAGAGTAGGCTGTGGTGCCGCTGTTCGGGCATAATTTCCCTCATAGCACCCTTTATGACGTATGCCCGTCTTCGTTTCACCAGAAAGGTAGGATGTTAAGCCTCATTTCATTACTTCTTGCAGAAGAAACAGACCAGTTGTAGCTAGGGGAACACCACCATCGTACGTGGCGAATAGTGTGGTCTAATTACTAACCACATGTTTCATAACATGTAAATTGCACAATCGATATGTACATGTAATTCACATTATGGTCTCATCTCCCTTTACGACCTGTTCTGATTTGCTGATAACGCAATCTAGTGGTTTAGTTTTATTATCTAACCCTCCATGTAAGTACACACACAGATTTATTTTTGAAAAAAACCCAAATGACTCGGCATTCTATAAGATAAGATACTCGACAAAGAAAATTCAGCTATAAAACTTGGGCCCTGTTTCTCGAAATCTTAACTAAAGATAAAATCCAAATTTTAGTAGATACTTCAATTTTGATTGACCAAGTACTAAAATCAATCTAACACTATCCAATAAAATTACTAAAATTTGGATTTTATCGTGAAACAGGCCCCAGGGCGTAGGTTTTATCTTCGGGGACCCAAATCGGCTAAACACACATAGATAGGGTTGTTTTGTTTTACCGTAGCAATTTCATTCCAGTCCTGTCTGAAATGATGTCCATTAAAGATACATTATGTAAGATTTAGATAAAGAACTAGCCATTCTTGCTATAATAGTTCGAAAGTAGATGATGTAAAATGAATAATTTGAAAATTTCATTCAAATTACTCTATTGTAAGCGAAGATATTAGCCTTTTAAGGTTTGGCAGACGTGTGCAATAATTTCAACCACCGTACTGGTTGATCGAAGCTAAGTCTCGGTCCTCCATATTTGATTAAATCAAAGTATCGCTGAACCATTCTAATCTATTTAATATTGGAGGAATCTGGTGCCATCGAGAGTTGATTAAGGCCTGGATCAGTTAATTAATGTCTAATTAATACTTTAGAAAACATCCAGGCCTAAAGAAAGACCTGCAATAGGCAGATTTAGCTCCTGCATAATGCATGTTTAACTAACGAACAGTTTTCATATAAAACAAAATGTAACAATTTATTAGGGGTGATTTTGGTGTATCCATAACCGAACTAAATGGTTTATATGCTTGAAGATCCCCCTTCTTGGTTAAGTTAATGTATTGTCTGACCTACCTGAACTGGATGTAATCTAGTGCGAAGACTACCAATACCTTCAGTCGTTGTAACAGCTAATCCGTGTACAGAACAAACTGGTGTTAAACACGCATTAACTGAATAATGTCTGGTGAGTATATATAAGGATTGTTAATTACTATCATCGGACAAGCATCGTCCCATATGAGGGGTCAGGGTAGCTAAGTGGGTAAGATGCTGGCTAGCTAGCCTGGAGATCGGGTGTTCGATTCCTGCATTGGCCGCGAAAGTTCATCCAGATTTTCTGGCGTGGTTCCCCCTTGTCAGTGATGCAGTTCGGAACAGAACAGTAGGACGTTACATCCATGTCATTTCATTTCATTTCCATAGTCCCATATGTCCCCCCACTTTCTTATACCTTTTGGGGCGTGGAAGTGGTCCGCAAACGCTATCCATCGTGTTGTTCTTGCGGTACGATTAACCTGAAACATGGTGTTCCTTGGACAATAGCTCATCGATATGATGTCACACCCAGTTCATGGTCCATAGTAAGGTGGTAACCTACTTATTGGACAATGAGTATCATAACACGCCAGCTACGAGAACATTATAAAACACTTGTTTTGAGAAAGAGGTGACATGGCAGTTTCAAACTAAAGCATTGCCAAGAGAGTATAGTCGGCGAATCACCGGTAAAATCGTGATTTTGTCCCACCGCTGTACGTGTGTGTGGTCGACTCATTAACCTCGCATTCCTTATATGCACTGCTGGGGTATGGAAGCTCGGTCAGTGTAGTGTTGGCTCACTAACCAGGAGGTCCTCGGTTTGATCCCGATTTTTCAGCCGCGTTTCCCGCTTGTCAGGGGACTAGCAGTTTGGAAAGGACGAACAATAGAGGTATTGTGTATGTCACTGCCAGCACGTTAAACATTCCTGGAAGTTGGAAATCTAAATATGAATTCTCTGGACAAATTTTCCCTCATAGGACACGCCATGGAGTATGCACAATTAAACATACGAGTTTGTCTCGGCACCAAGGCTCCCAACTTCTCCTAATACATCTTTAAAAATGACCCAGAAATAAGATTTTAGTTTGAAAAGGATACAGTATGGTTCTATTCTCCTCATCGTATTTGGAAATCATAACAGTGCATGCTCCACATCCTCCTTCACCACAGACCAGCTTGGCACCAGTAAGTTGTACTTATTTTTAATCAAGGTAATTGTTTTGTTTTTAAAATCGAGTCTGTGTTAGAAGCTCGTCGATATAATTTAAATGCTGATATACAAGCATCCGAAAAACAATAGCAAATGAAATCATCACGTTAATTAATATCCAGTGACGGATTCGTGTAGATTCCCACTGTGTATCCACGTGACATGCAGGTGATTCCAAAGTATATTTGGTACATTCCAAAGTATATTTGGTACATTCCAAAGTATATTCTGGTACTTTCAAAAATATATTTTGTTTCATACAGAAGTATATTATTGTACTTTCAGAAATATATTATGTTACTTACAGAATTATATTCTTGTACTTTCTGAAATATGTTACTCACAGATGTATATTCCTGTACTTTCAGAATTATATTTTGTTATTTACAGTAGTATATTCTTTTATTTTCAGAAATATATTATGTTACTTACAGAAGTATATTCTGGTACTTTCAGAAATATATTGTTATTTACAGAAATATATACTTATTCTAAAAGAAAATGATTATGTTACTTGCACAAGTTTATTCTGATACTTTCAGAAATATATTACAGAAGTATATTCTTGTACATTCTAGTAGTATGAGTATATTCTAGTTAATTTCAGAAGTACATTCTTGTACTTTCAGAAATATACTCGGGTAATTTCTGAATATTCAAGTACTTTCTAAACTATACTGTGGTACTTTCAGAAGTATACACGGGTGCTTCTGAACTACACTTTTATGTGGTTCTAAAAACATAATCTTGTTTTAAACTCTGAAGTAAACAGTCGACTGTTGAACACATAATATTGGCTTTTTCTACGAACTTAAGCAATTAACACATGGATTGTTATACAATACTTTGCTACCGAACACATGATTTAGACATAGTTGAGTTATCATGTAACCCTGTATGTTTTGTATCTGTGTTAATATTTATCAAAAACACCAATAAGACCATGCCATAAATATAAAAAGATACATTTTGTTCTAAGATATTGTAGAAGGGAGCATGTTGGATCAGGATCATGTTCTATCGTCTGTCAAAATAAAATACAAGAAAACATGAATCAGCTGATTAAATACTAAGTCGAGATAATTAAGTGGAGCGCTCGAGATACTAAGTGGAGCGCTCGAGATAATATAAGCGAACACGTCTCAACCGATGCTTTAAGCTATATAATTTTGTGCATAATTTGATGATAAACTAGTAGAATAAAGATATTCATTGGTTCGTTTTTACAGAATATCTTTATTTTGCAAGTTTATCATTAAATAATGCACAAAATTATACAGCTTAAAACATCGGTTGAGACATGTTGATTGTATTATCTCGAGTGCGCGACTTAATTATCACGAGCGCTCGACTTAACTTTCTCGAGCGCTCAACTTAACTTTCTCGAGCGCTCGACTTAGTATCTCAGGCGCTTGACTTAGTGTCTCGAGCGCTCGATTTAATATCTCGAGCGCTCGAAATATTTTTTTTTTTTGCGTGTCCTAAATCAGACACCGTAATCAACAGAACCCTCGCTTGTTATATGTCCCAAAAACGAAATTCTACTCGCCTCTGCTGAACACAGCAACAAATTTTAAAACATGCGTATATCTCTTATTTTATCGTGGAGCTATAAATATATTTATTGAATTATGTGAAATTTATTTTTTTCCATTCAACAAACATTATATGATAAATAGGCTTGTCAAATACAACGGCTCTGCAAACATTATCTCATAACCCGAACTCACCTACGATAGAATGGGGTATTGCAAATAATCAAATAGTTATAAAAGGAGATTTGAAACTATATATGAAAGAAGCGTCTTTGTTGGTAATAAATGGCTGATTTTATTATGCCTGACATAGTATGACAGGTTTTGTTGTCCCGAACACTGTGTAACAAGTAGAGAATATCTGTTTTGAACTTAGTTGCATAGCAATGAACAGTTTTCTACAACTCTTTGCCTCTTTGGCCCAACGCATGCATACATTAAAGGTTTATTTTATGCAAGGGTGATTAGTGTTTGCAAGACGTCTCTTTATAAAACTTCTTCTTAATAACACATCATAATTATAGCAAGGTTTGGGGATACTCGAAAATCTTTTGGAATGTAGCACCACACGGACAGATGAGCATATTCCTGAAAATCCCTCTCTGGCCATTGCTGGATAGGCTTTTGATACTTGGGCTTTTGGGGAGTGCGTCTATTCTTTCTGTTCAATCAAATCTATCCCAAGTACAGCAACACGACAGCCATTCATTTAATCTGGGGTCTTCCCAAAAACTTTGGACAGTGATTTAATTAAGCTATTAAAACGGTAAAAGTATTGTTCGTCTCCATACAGTATTGTTTACATTGTATCCGTTTAGATAGCCTCGTTTATCACGTAATTAGTTTTTCTGCAATATTCTGCTATGCAATGGTTAAATAGGCGTAATTAAATCGTGAGTCATGACGTACCGTTATGTAAACATATTTGGTCCGATTTGGAGCACTATTTAAAGCGTAATAATATTGTTACGCAGTTAGCTATTGGTTGTTAATCGGACTATAGTATTGGCCAGTCATAATTTGGAACAGAAATTTGCTTCCATTACAGCAGTGTTAAGTGAGATTAGCTCTAATCAAACGAAACACTGCGAGGAGTATGACAGTTGAGGGGTTTTGAAAATATTTTGATGAACTCTTTGTTGTGAAAAACCCCACCAGAGGCTAACATCATGTGGACTACAATTTCATAAAGTAGGATAATAAAATAAGCTACGGAGGTTCTACGAAAAGCCCCTAAATGTTGCTATTTTTTTGTTTTAAAGCCCCCAAATGTTGCCATGTCCATTTCCAAATTAGACCTAGCTCATTTTATAGCCCATTCGTGGTAAATGATACATGTTTTCTCGCAGATTACATTACTTTAAACAAATGTTTCTTATTTAAAACAAGATTTTCTTACCTGCACCCCATTTACATAGAAAACGAGAAGATCGTTCGATTTGTCCATGACCTAACTACAGCTAATGTTATCCGTAACTGACAGTAATGTATGCAATAAAGCGGGTTAGTTATTTGTTGCGGTATGCATTAACACGTGACCATATCACTAGATGATAGCATATATGATAAAACATTATAGAAAACAAAATACTGGTTACATTATAAACTATGCAGGATGTCAGATAGAGCGGAACACAATATTGTTAAAGATGAGTTCCCGCGTACAAACTGGGTGATTTAATGGTATATATGGACTAAAAACATATTCAAACTAATTAATTTGTCATAACTTTGCTTCAAATCCTTCTCAATCATTGTAATTGCGAAGGAATGTCCTGCTATAAAAATTCGATCAAGCCAGGTCATGTTTACGTCACGTGACTTAACTCACTTGGAAGTCAGAGGAGAATTCATTGCATACATAAGACGATGTTGTTTTTAATCGCTTACTATTTATTACAAATATCGAATCCTAATTAAATTCTCGGATTATCCACTACCCGCGTCTTTTTCCGTCATTTTTATCTCAGAAAGTGTTGTACGTCTAACTCTTATAAAGTTTATCAACTTGTACATCAAACGTTCAATGTTCGCGTGTGACCTTTGACATCACGCGTGCAGAAGTTCCTAATCGTCGGTCTGTTGATTAGGGGAATCCGGTATTTTTCTAGTAAGATTGGATATCTATACTTTCCATATATACCTAAATTACCATACTTTTATTGGACATTACCACCCGATAAATACTTTTCTTGGAACGCATCTTTAAGTGTCTCATAAGTTTCATTTCAAGTGGCAACACGCTATTATAGGTAGACCGGTGTCCTGCGACGTTACATGATTTTTTTTTCTGATGCCCGCTGTCTGGGAAAAATGTCCCTCATAGCACACTGTATGGCGTATGTCCGTCTTCATTAGCCCAGTTCGGAGCAGAACAGTAGGAAGTTAAACCCCATTTCATTTCATTCCATTTCCGATGCCCCTATATTTGACTGGTTTTGGGCCACGACAATTCAGAGAAAACCATGAAAAAAAAATATTACCATGTTTCAGAAGGTGCACTTTGGCTAAAATGGCGCCCCATAGGATCCTCTATTAGAATAGGGTGAGAAACTTCAAGGCCCTTTTATGTATGCAAACACCCCTTGGCTCCTGGACTAATTGTTACATAATTGTGTTTTAAACAACAATTATCTTTTCTCTGTCTTATTAAGAGTTCATGTGTGTAAGCTAATGTGTATAATCAGCATTTTGTCCTACAGATACAAGGGTCCGGAAACCCCAAGATTTTATTAACGCAGGAGTAACTAGATTTGGGATACAACCCATTTTTCAAACTGATTGTGAAGAAATAAAATGGGGCTAAACGTCCCACGATCCTATACCAACTGGGTATACGCCATACAGTATGTTATGGGGGACATTGTTTCTAGGCAATGGGGCTGCCCGTCCTCATTAGTGCAGTCGGAGCAGAACAGTAGGACATTAAACCACATTTCATTTCATAGATTATATAACTTTTGGATAACGATTAGTTAATTAGTGGTCATTAATTATCAGGACAGGAAGCGGAGGGAGGGAGTGTGATAATAAATGACTACATAATTACATATACGTACGTATAAATATCTCGTTGGTTCATATCTACATCATCAGTTTGATTAACTCTTCAAATAACATACAAGGTAAGTTGAACTTAACACTTGTCATAGAGACATAATGGACAAATTATCTTGTAAAATTGAATTTACTGCGATTTTATCAATTAGAGCCGAAGTTTTTAACCCGGTCGGGACCACGGTTGGTAAGTGGGGAAGACGCTTGCTCGCTAGCCTGGAGGTCGCGTGTTCGATCCTTGCATTGGTTTCCCCTTGTCAGTGGTGCAGGACGGAGGGCCCCGGCAAGGAAAACTGTCTAGTATATATTGGCGTCCACGTAAAAGATCCCTTGGCATTGGAATTCGATATAGGAGTAGACCATAGTGCCGCTGCCCGGGCAAAATTTCCCTCATAGCACATTGTATGGCGTATGCCCGTCTTCATTAACCCAGTATAGGAGCAGAACAATAGGACGCTAAACCCCATTTCATTTCATTTAACCAGGTCGTTTACCAGACCCTAGAGATCTCCTCTTTAACGATTAGATACTGAATTTCCTTTTATTAATGGCACGGTTTTATATAAAGACTGTTAAGCGGATTGTAGTATCAAAATAACCTCATATACAGTACAATTATTATTACTTTATTTGTCTACTGGAGATAAATATGGTGGTGTGAAATCAACAGAAATCCACGGAAACTAAAAATGACCATAACCTGACGGATTTGAAAAAATATAAATATGGTGGTGTGAAATCAACAGAAATCCACGGAAACTAAAAATGACCATAACCTGACGGATTTGAAAAAATATTTGTACATGAATGTTTTCTTGTTACTATAGTACTTTTTATAGTTTTTTTAGCTGTGTGTGTAACATTGATTCTGGCTATGTTGGGGTATTCATCGTGATTTGACGAATAAATAAAAATTATACACCAGCTTTGTTCTCTTTTTCAGATGATGAAATTCGTTGTTGCCACTTTTGCCTGTGTATTGGCCGTCTCCATGGCTGTTCCCATGGGAGGTTTGGGGATGTACGGCGCTGGTTTAGGAATGTATGGACCTTGGTCCGGAATGTACGGTGGCCTAGGAATGTATGGCGGACTCGGAATGTACGGAGGTCTTGGAATGTATGGCGGCCTTGGTGGTCTAGGGATGTACGGAGCTGGTATGGGACTGTACGGAGCTGGTATGGGTATGTACGGAGCTGGTCTGTACCCGGGAATGATGATGGGAGGAATGTACCCAGGAATGTTGGCTGGTATGAACTCTTATGCTGGTATGATGGGAACTCAGTTTGGTAATGTCAACAATAACAACAGTAAGTATTTTACATATATACATGAAGAGCGACCTTTTGGATCAGGAACTGGTCTTCAAGTGCTACTGATCTTGTTCTTGTTGTTCTTCTTGGCGGTGGCGCTCTCCGAAAAAAGACTAAGACTCCGCGAATTCATGTACGATCGACATGGAACTTGGCATGTTTGTTCCTTGGACAATTGGACAATTACATGCACTACGTTTTTTGATATGACGTCACATTTATAAGATGATGTGATGACGTCAGAGTCAGTTCCGGATCCATATTCAGTGGTACTTTAAAGAGTGACTCTTCCCGCTTGAAAGTTTATCTGATAATATAAATGTTGGGAAGTCCCGTGTACACATTGGCGTGCACGTAAAAGATCCCTTGACAGTTGGAATTCGATATAAGAGTAGGTCATAGTGCCGCTAGCCTGGCAAAATTTCCCTCATAGCACACTGTATGGTGTATGCCTATCTTCATTGTCTCAGTTCGGAGCAGAACAGTAGGACGTTAAACCCGATTTCATTTCATTTCCTTAAACGTTGGATCTTACACTAAAGTCTCGAACAAATATAGCAATCATTTACCACTTAATTGTGTCGAATGTCCAGCAATTCTTTTCGTACACTGCCTAAACCATGATTAGGGAACGAAATTCTTCCAACGAATCTGAAAATATAAAGCGATGCTATACGAAACCGAAATTGTGTGATAGCTTCGAGTGCCTTATTTTTCTTTACGATGACAATTTTGTAACATGTCACCCCTGTGAAACAGATAAGAATTGTGTTTAACATATTTTCATATATTTTCTTTCTTTCAGTTGATACCACGGTTTAAAAGTCATATCACCACGTTCATAAAACATACCATTCATTTTTATCAAGAAAAGTGTCGGCATTATTTCTCTTATTATTATCATTAGAATAAATAAATTAAATGTTCATCAACAATTAAAATTGAATTTATGTCTGTTTTATTTAATCCTTTATATCCCCGATCCTTTTAATTAATCCTTTATTTCCCCGTTCTTTTTAATTAATCCTTTATTTCCCCGTTCTTTTTAAAGTCTATGCGCGTAGAATCAATCCGATTAAAAACAGTCCATTGGTGGAGGATTGTTGCGAAGATTACGGGTGGGCTGACTTTTGGCCATAACCCGAATATATTGTCTGCGGAGGGTACCTTATTTTGAAGGGGTTGGTCTAGAGTGTCGCGCTTCGACCTCAAGCTGTCCTGTCACCTCTGGTTTGCGGTCATGATTTGCATCCCTGTTGTGAGTGTATGTGGCTTGGAGATGATTTGCATCCCTGTTGTGAGTGTATGTGGCTTGGAGACAGGGGCGAATACAGGAAAGACCTCTGAGCATGCGCAAAGATAATAAAAATAAGACAACTTGCGTGCGCTATTACCCTCTTTGTAAATACGGAATTGATATTCCTTTTAGATATTCAACAGTATTGTTGTTCTTAAGCAGTTCCCCAAAGGGTTCTTTGATTGGCACGTTAATGTATACTCGGGACCTCGGTTGTTTGTCCCGTACGAACGACTAGATGTAAGTCCTTACAAGGCCCTTTGCCACTGTCTAAAGAAAACCTCGAGTACCTATCTCGGCCAACATCGAGATCGAACTCGGGTCATCCGCGGGTTATAGTGGACCAGCGGCATACTCGCTTAACATATAAGTCTTGACAAAATGGTGGCAAACATGTATACAGTGCCGCAATGTGTATTCCAAATCTGGCCCAAAAATTGAATTGTGAGTTTTCGGTAACGGAACTTGCAAATATTGTCATTGGTAATGAAAGTATTTCTGGTGATTTCTGTGAGTGCTAAAACGTAGATTTCTACACTTCGACCAATAGTCTATCATGCCATGAAACTAAAATAGCAAAATGGCCGCCGAAAATGAGGTCAGATCGCACGTAACCTGTTCTTGATAGAAGAGAACATCGAAAACTACCTTCATGCCAAATTGTCACTATTTTTGGGATTGAGAATTCAATTCCGGAATGTTCAATCGAGTACCCCCCACCCCACCCTAGACAACGGGCTAGTAATTGTATCTGGCTTTGAGCAGAACCCTGTGCACATTATAAGAATGCAAAATTATGTCATAGATGATGTTTATTATGTTATAAGTGATGTTAATTATGTTATAAGTGATGTTAATTATGTTATAAATAATGCAAGAAATAGCTAAACAATTTCATAAGAGAATTTTGTATTTCTAATCTGTGTTGAAACCATGGTATTGCAATTCAAATGACTTTATAATAAGTGATGTTAATTATGTTATAAGTGATGTTAATTATGTTATAAATAATGCAAGAAATAGCTAAACAATTTCATAAGAGAATTTTGTATTTCTAATCTGTGTTGAAACCGTGGTATTGCAATTCAAATGACTTTATAATAATGCCCATTTTATTGATGAAACACACCTTGTGATCTACAGCGCACGTGATATCATTTATATGAATTAATTAAACAGAAAATAAATCTTAATCTCATTTTCAAACATAAACTTCCTTAATTCATATGTAAAAATACCTTTTTTTTAAATGCAAAGCTAGTATATTCGGGTAATATGAAACCTGAACATTAGTGGTGTCAAACCCCATATCTTTTCGTTTCACGTTAAAATGTGGAGTGAATGGTAAAGTGGTGAACTTTATACATGCTTTTTGGCAAGTCGTTGCCAGGTTGGCCGCCGCCAAAGAGATGAGAATTACCATTAAGAGGTCAATATCGAAATCAAAAGTGAACTGTGGTTATTCATTTTACTAAAGGGAGATAACTCAAACAAAACCGAATTGGCTCAGACTAGCAATTATTTGCCCATTGACTTCAATATTAAATGGCTGTAACATCACAGGCTGTAGCTTTTTGCTCAACATTCCATTGGTTCCAATCTTTATATGCACACAGGGAACGGCATTTGGCAATCTCCTCATCATAATTTTGTAGAGTGTTGACCTTATAGATTTTTTGCTACGAGGATTTGATGTCGACTGGGGTCAAGATGTCACCTCCGACACAATGATTGCTGTGCAGAAAGACACTTTACACCATCTATCCGTCCGTTGTAATATCATTAATATTACCCAAAACTGCTATGAAATTGCAAATTTGGTCCCTTTTCATTAGTTCTAGACCAAAAAGTCAATCAATAAATGCAGGAAAAGGGGAGAAAAAAATTAAAGGAAAATTGTCTATTTATAACTGGCACTACCTTCATGAACGGTGTAAAATATTCAAACGTTTTTTTTTCAATCTGATAAACATTGTTAGCTCTAGAGTGACCATAAACTGAAAACGTGATTTTTCGTACAATCAAGGGCCATAATTCAGCAAGTTACGATCCAATATTCGCGTGTTTTGAAAGGAACCAAGATATTTGGGTTATAAACATGCATTTCAAGTTTCATCAAAATCAAATCTAGAGTGCCCACAAGCTAGAAACGTGATTTTTCGTACAATCGGGGGCCATATGGTCGGATATATGCCAATATCGAAAAGAATCGAGATCCTTCGGAGATAGACCTATATTTTAAGTTTCGACAAAATCGAATATGTGACAAGGAGTAGGATCGCCTGTCCAACCTCGTGGGTTTTCTCTGGGTCCTCCCACTGCTAAAGACCCCGCCGCGCAAGCGATTTATGGAAATAAAATTGAACCATATGTTAGTCCCGAAATGACCTAGTTTGTGTCGAGTGGACGGTAAACTCTCTCTCTATCTCTCTCGTCCTTCGGATGAGACGAAAAACCGAGGTCCCGTGTATACATTAGAATGCACGTAAAAGATCCCCTGGCAGTTGGAATTCGATATAAGAGTAGGCGATAGTGCCGCTGCCCGGGCAAAATTTCCCTCATAGCACACTGTATGGCGTATGCCCGTCTTCATTAGCCCAGTATAGGAGCAGAACAGTAGGACGTTAAACCCCATTTCATTTCATTCCATTTCCGATGCCCCTATATTTGACTCTCTCTCTCTCTCTCTCTCTGGCCAGTTTTAGATATTCGTGGCAGTTGCTTGGCGTTTCCGGTTCAAACATAAACAAAAATCAAAAATAAGACTTAAAAAAAACCTGACACCCAAAGGTGTAACACAGGATTTAATATCCAACACTCATCTTATTTATGCCACTTGTTCGAACCTAAAACCACCTGAAATAACCAGGTATTCGTTTTTGTAAAAAGGGAAATAACTCCAACATGCTTGCCTATCAGCGTTTCCACTGGCATTGAACATCAGGACTCAGTTATTTGCACAGTGACTTCAATGTTAAATGGCTGTAACATCACAGGTTATAGCTTTTTGATCAACATTCCGTTGGTTCCAATCTTAATAGGAACATAGGGGACCGCATTTTGCAAATTCCTCATCTTAATGTCGTAGGAGGTTGACCGTTTAGATTCTTTGCTACGAGGATTTGATGTTGACTGGGTTCAAAATGTCACTTCCGACACATTGATTGCTCTGCAGAAAGATACATTACACCCCTATCCCTACGTTGTAATATCATCAGTATTACCCAAAATTTGACCCCTCTTCTCCATTTATAGACGAAAAAGTAAACCACAGGAAAATACATGTGGTTAAGCTCCTGACCTTATTATATACCAATCCGTAATCGTACACATGGCTTGCATATATACAACATGTAGTGTGATCTACAGTTGGCGATATGATTATAAAATATGTGTCCATGTTCTTATTGTCCGGTTATGTGAGTGACGGGAGTGCTTTGAATTTGTGCTCGTGTATAATTTTCGTACTCTTGTGTATACTTTTGTATATTGTATGGTATTATGAAAAACAACTATCACCAGTAATGAATCTACACCCACTTACTATTGTACCAGACATCCCCGGTTTATCTATAACTGAGGCTGTTCAGTGTACAAATACTGTACGTTGACCAACCTTCTATCTATCCAAATACCCACTTACTACTGCACCAAGCATCCCCAGTTTATCTCTAATCACCAAAACACACACTCACTACTGTACCCAGCTTCTCAGAGTCTATACAAACACTTACAACTGTGCCAGACTTCCCCGCATTATATATCTCCGAGGCTCTACAACATGGGAGATGCTAATTGTAGGCCGGTTGGAGAGGTTCGGGAATTTCCGTAGTCCACAATAGCCGCTTTATATAAATGAGTATTTTGGGGAATACTAACTCTAACCCTGACTCTTATAAAAGGGGTAAAGGGTAAATTGGATCCAAGTTCAGTGTTAGTATTCCCCAAAATACTCAATTATTTAAAGCGACCATGGTGAACTCTTGAAATTCCCGAACCTCCCCAACCGGCCTACAACAATTAGCATCTCTCCCGTACAACACTCACTACTGTATTGGAGAGACGGGGTGGGAGGGAATGGTTAGTACGCGCTGTATCGTAAGGTCTGTCATTGAGTCAATTGACGTGGTTTCGATTCCCCGGTTGTATGTGACAAAGAGTAGGGTCAACTGTCCAACCTCGTGGGATTTTTTCGATTCATCCGGTTTTCTCCCATACGCGAAAGCGAATTATTGAAATAAAATTGAACCATATGTTAGTCCCGAAATAACCTAGTTTGTGTCAAGTGGACGTTAAACCCATCTCTCTCTCTCTCTCTCTCTCTCTCTCTCACACACACACAAACACACACCCACCCACCCACACACAACACTATTACTGTCTCGGGCTTCCCCGGTTTATCTATAACCACAAAACCGCTACATCGACTGTTTCTATAAATGACGTAGCAGGATCCTGGTCGGTTGTGTAAAAAGACTGTACACGCCTTGTCAGCTCACCATTTCGCATTTTAGCACGGACATATCAACAGCCACAGTTTCGTACTCAAATCATCATGAAGGTTTTTATCGCTCTCGTCTTAGTTATTGGTAAGCAGTTTTGTTTATTTACATGCACGTTTCACCTGTTTATGTGTGGCATTTGTATTTTGTAGGGCACTATTTTCACTAAAATCTTTGCAAATCATTATTAACAGTTTACGCAATTTTTTAATCCCCATCTTTGATTCAGTCGGACCAGTATCTTATTTTATTTTTGCGGTTTAATTTACGCTAAAGTGTATGCAAATTTATTATTAACATTTTACACAAATTTATAATACCCCGGCTTTGATTCAATCGGATCAATATCGTTTTTATCGCGGTTTAAACCACGCTAAAATGTATACAAATCTATTATTTAGAATTTTAATATCCAGAACACAAATTTATAATCTCCAGGCACGGATTCAGTCAGATAATACACGGTTTTATTCTGGCCACATCTCTTTTACAGAGGATATCGAATATATTTATACATTATTGGAATGGTATTTGTTTTAGAGAGTCAACGTTTACAATGTTATACTTTGCAAAGCAATAACTGTCAGATGAGAAACCTGTATTTTATTACAAATTAAAATAGTTTGCAGGATTTCAGTGTTTTCTAACATTTTAGCTTATTTACTACATGCGATATACAGGTGGGGGTCACGGTGGCTAAGTGGGTAAGACGCTGGCTCGCTAGCCCAGAGGTCGGGTGTTAGATCCCTACATTGGCCGAGAAAGTTCATCCAGATTTTCCGGCGTCGTTCCCCCATGTCAAAGATGCTGGTTGGAGGGGCTGACAATGACAGTTGTCTAGTCGTTCGGATGCGACGAAATCCTGAGGTCCCGTGTACACATTGGCGTGCACGTAAAAGATCCCTTGGCAGTTGGAATTCGATATAAGAGTAGGCCGTAGCGCCGCTGCCCGGGCAAAAAAAATCCTCATAGCACACTGTATGGCGTATGCCCGTCTTCATTAGCCCAGTCTAGGAGCAGAACAGTAGGACGTTAAACCCCATTTCATTTCATCCTCCCCCCCCCCATGTCCTCGACCCTGCGCCTCTAACAAGAGGAAATAATCCTGAAAAATATTGTTACTACAAATTGATCCTTTTTATAACGAAGTCAAAACTGTTTTCGACCAAACCGTAAAGGTCATATTTTGTCTAACAAACGTTTTGTTTATTTTGTATCGTAGTGGATGCTGTAGTGTGTAGAAACAATGTGTGTATTACGTGAGCTGTATTAACAATCTGTTAGATCCAGGCCAGTAGCAATGGCTGCCCATTAGCTTAATTACATGTACCATTCTTGATCCGTACTCGTACTCTTAGCAGATTACACTTATCGACCGATTCTCATTTTTGACCCTACTTGCTGAGTTTATTAAAGGAGCTAAATCGCTAATATTTGGGACCTAGAAATTGACACAAATGGGTTGCAACGCATTATAATAATGTAATATGAATGTATATAAACTGATTTACATTCAATTGTCTCTGTTTTTACTATAATTTCTAATCAGTTATGTTCAGCGAAATACGCCAGAAATCTCAATCGAATGGCAATCTTTAGCGTCTGGTTATTCCAGTCTATACCGAGAGTACTTATTATGCATGCTCTCCAGATAAGAATATGACATCCCCGTTTGACATGACTTGTGGAATATGTCTAGCCTCGTGCACCAATGCTAAAATGTTTATTTTGTCTTAAATGTTGGATATCAGAAGCCCATCTTTTCTCGGTAAGATCACAACATCAATCTTGATTTAAATTGATAAATAATTCGTGTTTTCATTGTCGAAGACTTTGGATGATAATGCGTTAGAGACTTAGCTACTTTAAAGATTGGCTGGTAACAATAGTCTATTATCATTTCTATTTTATAATGCGATTTTAATCCATTGGAATGCACGTAAAAGATCCCTTGGCAGTTGGAATTCGATATAAGAGTAGGCGATAGTGCCGCTGCCCGGGCAAAATTTCCCTCATAGCACACTGTATGGCGTATGCCCGTCTTCATTAGCCCAGTCGGAGCAGAACAGTAGGACGTTAAACTCCATTTCATTTCACTTTAAACTACTGGTAAAGGTATTGAAAGTTATTGGGTTCGATAATGATGGGACAAACTCTTTGTGATTAACTTTGGGTTTACTGTATCGACAGAAATGAACTGAAATGGGGGTTAACGTCCTACTGTTCTGCTCCTACTGGTCTAGGGGATCACGGTGGCTAAGTTGGTAAGGCGCTGGCTCGCTAGCTTAGGGGTCGGGTGTTCGATCCCTGCATTGGCCGAGAAAGTTCATCCGGCGTGGTTGTCCCTTGTCAGTGATGCAGGACGGAGGGGCTGACAAGGACAGTTGTCTAGTCGTTCGGATGGGACGAAAAACCGAGGTCCCGTGTACACATTGGCGTGCACGTAAAAGATCCCTTGGCAGTTGGAATTCGATATACTAGTAGGCCGTAGTGCCGCTACGGGCAAAATTTCCCTCATAGCACACTGTATATGGCGTATGAACAGTTCGGAGCAAAACAGTAGGACGTTAAACCCAATTTCATTTCATTTCATTTTCATTTCCTACTGGTCTAAAGACGGGCATACGCCATACAGTGGGCTATAGGGGAATTTTTACCCGGACAACGGCGCTATGGACTAGTCTTATTTCGAATTTTCAGCTGCCAAGGTTTCTTTTACGTGTACACGAGACCTTGGTTTTTCGTCCCATCCGAACGACTACTGTATTGAGAGTTAAACTTACTCTCGGTTTTATCTTCAGAGATAAATATATTGGGCTATGAGGGAATTTTTCCCGGACAACGGCGCTATATGGACTACTCTTATTTTGAATTTCAACTGTCAAGGATTATTTTACGTGTACACGGGACCTCCGTTTTTCGTCCCATCCGGACGACTACTATATCGACAGTTGAACGTACTCTCGGTTTTATCTTCAGAGGTAAAATTTTCGATGAAAACGGGTTGTCTTCTTACAAAACATTCATTAAAAACATCGGGTCTAGTTCAAGAACTTTTGCAGACCTCTAGCACAGGCAGAAATATAAATACATTTATTGCAAAAAATAACGCCCACGTGGAGCAGCATAAAATTACATATACATACGTATATATAAAACAGTTTGTAGCAATAGGATAGGTTTAATCTAATAAGTTTTTATCTACGGCCATTTTTAATTTATTCACGAGAGAAACCTAGCCAGGTATGTCTGATTGAAAATTTGGTAGCTATATTTGCTACACCGGTTGGAATGTTAATATTAGAGCATGAATGATAAACCACATGTTAAAGTGGCAATGATGAGGTGTAAGTCGGAACAATTCGTGAGAGAGAGAGAGAGAGAGAGAAGAGAGAGAGAGAGAGAATTAGAGTTTTCAAACATTGTCTTAGAGAAATGTGGAGGTCCAAAACTCTGCATTAATGTCAATTGTGCAACTCTCTATAACATCACTTATACGCTAAACAAACGTAATTCTGGTGGCCAACTAATTCGAGTTTTTAAACGTTGTTTATAATATGCAATGTGAGGGTATTTAAGGCTCAAAAAGATTTTAAAGCTTATAAAGTTTAAACTCCAGTACTTGTAATATTTTCGAATAGCGTATATTGTTTATCTCTCGACTATATTTAAAAAAATGCGAGTTTTAAAAAGTTGTTTTTGAGAAATGTCGAGGTCTCTAGGCGGTTATAATATAGCATGAATCCATGCCAAGGTTTTAGTTGATATATTTGAACAGAATTGCTGCTTTAAACAGGACTATTAACTAACCTTTAGAAGTGACAGACTATTGATGGTGTATATATCAAATTATCTACTTCCTCGCCTGAAGGTTATTCAGGTCATACTGTCGATTAATATACCATTAAAACATAAATACAGTTTTACAACATAAAAAAATCAAATTACAATGATGGTTTTAATGACATGAAGTTAAATTAAATGGGGTTTAACGGCCTACTTTTTTCTGCACCGACTGGGCTAATGAAGACTGGAATGAACTATGAAGTGTGATATGAGGCTACTTTTACCCGGCAATGGCTCTAGGGTCTACTCTAATTATGAAATTCAATTGTGAAGGGTTACTTTACGTGCACCCTACGTGTACACGGGACTGCGGTTTGCCGTCCCGTACGAAGGACTAGACCCTGTTCCTTGGCAATCCCGCCGGAAAATCGGCAAAAAAACAAAGGATCGAACCCGGGATTTCCTGGTTAGCTAACCACTGCGGCACACTAAACTTAGGCTGCCTATTTACACTAAGCTATAGTTGACCGACATAAAAAAATTTTTTAAGTCCTATCGACGATTTTAGTCGAAAACAGTACGTATACTTCCAGAATTTTGTTAAATATTTATGCATTACAAACAGTATACTAATATTTGGATATGGCGGCCATTTCGGACAGAGATCTAATGTCTATTCTCGATGTATGAAGTAGATGAATCGCTGTGTGCAGAATGCCCCTGCGGCTCCCGAAACGCTTTACATTTTTGCACCAACCTAGCTAATGCGGTCGAAATTGTCCTCACGTAGCGGGGCTACAGCCTACTATTTCCAATAGTAAGGGAGATGGGTAATGTGCTTTCAATTGTGTCCAAAGGGAACCCGGTTCTTTTGTCCCATCCAAAAGACTAGGCCCTCGGTCTCTACTACCCCCCCCCCCCCCCGACGATCCTTTAATAACAACTTGAAAGTTACTACTACAGTCAATCGCATTAAACAATCAAATAGATTCAAACCTTATATCATTTTACGCAAAGTCTGTCTCTTTACGTCAATTCATAATCCAAATACATTTTAATAGATTACATAATGTGAATTCTAAGCACGAGTAAGTCAGTAACAATTTACAAACATTCAGTATAAACGTTACATAAATCAATAGTTTATCTTTTAAATGTACATTAAACATACATTATGCAAGAGCTAAATCTGCCTATTGCAGGTCTTTCTTTAGAACTGAAATGTTATCTAAATTATAAATTAAACATTAATTAACTTATCCAGGCCATAATCAACTCTCGGTGGCATCTGATTTCTCCGA